CGTCACAGCTACCGCGTCGTCGCCCCGCTGCTCGTGGCCGACGGCTACACGGTCTACACGATCGATTTGCGCGGGTCCGGCGACTCGTCGGCCAACTTTGCGTCCTACACGGTCGAAGACGTGACGGCCGACATGGTTGCTTTTCTCCGGCGCCTTCCCGAAACCAAAGTCGTCGTCGTCGCCAACAGCTTTACGGCAGCGTGCACGATGCTCTTGGCCTCGTCCCCCGTGGCAAGCAAGCTCGCAGGTGTCGTCATTTTGGGACCATTCGCGCGGGACCCGCCAGGGTGCGGCCCGAAGCTGTTCAAGATGATTGCGCCGGCCATGTTTCCTCGACTGTACGGCGCAAGCATGTGGACGACCTACTGGAAGAGCCTCTTTCAGACACCTCCAGCCGACTTTGACGACTACAAGGCCTTTTTGGGAGCCAATTTGAACCAGCCGGGTCGTCTCAATGCGCTCGTGAAGCTTATTCAAGCGTCCAAGGCCAACGCTGGCAACGCCATGTCCAGCTTCAATCTCCCGCTCGTGATCGGCATGGGATCTTTGGACCCCGACTTTGCATCGCCGGCCGCCGAAGCCCAGTTCATTTACGACACGGTCCAGAGCTCGTGGAAGCGCATCTCAATGTACAAGAACGCCAAGCACTACCCTCAGATCGACTGCGCCGAGGCCGTTCGCCAGGATGTTCTCGCCCTTCTCCAAGAGGTGGCCGAGTAGCAATAGCCTTCGCCTGCACATGAAACTACATTCGATTCCGTTTACAGATATATGCAAACAAACATAAAGATGAGACGTTGTCGCTTGGGCTTCGAGCTGTGCAGTGTTGGAGGAATGTGTCGTTTCAACCAAGTGCTCGAGCAATTCAACGCTTGAGATGGTAAGATCTGAGTTTCATGCCACACTGAGCAGTGTATTTGTGCACCTAGGGCCCAAGCCAAATCGCCCATTCTGCGAGCCATTGACGAGTGTGTCTTGAAGGTCCTGCTAATGTATTCGAGCCGTCGCGCATCAACCGGTTCCCCTCGTCGCGCGTTAAGCAATGGAACGTTCGTTGCGCTTGCAGCACCAACACTCTTGCCCAAGACGGCCATTTTGACACACAATATCCGGAACGTTATCCGGAATTCATGGCATTGGTCGCGGAAGCAGTTCAAGCAGAAAGCAATCTAATTCGAGCTACACCATGGGTCGCAGCAAGAAGGCCGGGACAAGTTTGGGCAAGGCGCTCATGAAGACGAACGTCAAGAAGGCCAAAGAGCTCCAGTCGAGGTAGACAATCTGCTTGCTCTCTACGCATGCATCTCATCCATCTCCTGTAGCGCCGGCAAGCACGTGTCTGCCACGGACGGCGGGGACTCGACGGTGGCTCTCGCGTCGTACCTCGAAGGCTCGTCGCTGGTACGTGCGTGGCTGCTGCATGGCACGATCCGCTCACGCTGCGTAGGACGATTTCTTGGCCAACGCCACGATGGCCAACCGCGAGTTCGTCGCCGAGAAGGAGCGCGTCATGGTCCTCGAAGCCAACGGTCTTGCGACTTTTGCCAAAGTGTACGCGTCTGCAGTCGTCGCTCGCAGCGACTCACGCATATTGTATTAGGGACTTGGACAAGGTGCCCGAGATGGACTTTTCCGAGATGAAGATCCCGCGCCGCCCGAGCTGGGACGCGAAGACGACGGCCGCGGAGCTCAACATGCGCGAGCGCGAGTCGTTCTTGAACTGGCGTCGCGACATTGCCATGTACTTAATTAGTGGCGCTGTCGCATCCTGACATAGCGTGTTTGTAGGCTCGAGGCGGCCTCCGAGGAGCGTGACGTGACGCCGTTCGAGAAGAACCTCGAAGTGTGGCGCCAGCTCTGGCGCGTCATTGAGCGCAGTGACATTGTCGTCCAGATCGTCGATGCGCGCAACCCGCTCTTCTACCGGTACGTCAGCACTTTTTTGTCGGGCGACAACTCAAGATGACTTCTTTTAGCTCGGTCGACCTCGAGCGCTACGTCAACGAAGTCGACAGCGCCAAGGACTGCATGCTCATCATCAACAAGTCCGACTACCTCACACCGGAACAGCGGTACGTCGCCTTCTGTCTCTTGCAAAAGCACTCATAGTGAACCTGCGTAGTGTCATTTGGGCCGATTATTTCAAGGCCAACGCGATTGACTTTGTCTTCTTCTCGGCCAAGGAAGCGCAGGAGAAGCTCGACGCCGAGTACAAGGCCAGCAAGGACTTTTCGCTCTCGGACGACGAAGGCGACTTCGAAGACGACGACGACAGCGACGATGAGGACGAAGACGAAGAAGAGACGAAGCCGGCGCCGGTTGTGGTCGAGGCGCCCAAGCAGACTGCGCCTGTCGAGCGCGAAGACTGTGTCGTCTTGACCCGCGAAGAGCTCCTCGAGTATCTCTCGGGTCGCGCCGACAAGGTCGTCCAGCGCGTGGGTCTCCGTGCGGACGACAAGGGCCTCGTCAAGTTTGGTATGGTGGGCTTCCCCAACGTCGGCAAGAGTTCGGCCATCAACGCGCTCCTCGGTGCGTCCAACTACTCGCACCACACGCAGCGTGTCGCCGTTGGCGCGACGCCCGGCAAGACCAAGCACTTTCAGGTTCTTCGTCCTCCATACCTCCTCTCGACGCTCAATCCTTAACTTTCTAGACGATGATCCTCTCGGACAAGATCATGCTCTGCGATTGCCCGGGTCTCGTCTTCCCGTCGTTTGTCAACTCGAAGGCCGAAATGCTTTGCTGCGGCGTCCTCCCCATCTCGCAGCTCCGCGACCACGTTCGTATGTGATCTTATCGCACTTGGAGTCGGTTCTGATTGTGGTATAGCCCCGTGCGAGCTCGTGGCGCGCCGCATTCCCCGCCTCGTCTTCGAGTCGACCTATGGTATCAAGATCCCGTTCCCCAACTCGGGCAAGTACTTGGATCCCGTCGATGTGTACACGCTCCTCGATGTCTACGCGCGCGCCCGTGGCTTTGCGACCGCGGGCAAAGGCGGTCCGGATCAGTCCCGCGCCGCTCGTGTGCTCTTGCGCGATTACGTCATCGGTCGGCTCCTCTACTGCCACCCACCGCCTGGCACGTCGCCGCGCGAGCCGGCGTTCGATGTGATGGAGCTGGCCAAGAAGTTTGCGGCGTCCGAGGACACTGTCGCGCTCCTCGAGCCGCTCTCGGACGAGGAAGGCGACGACGCGACCAAGGCGCCGGGCTTTGACCCTGTCGGCATTGAGAACAAGACGGCGGCCTCCAAGCGGTACTGAGATGGGCGTCTTCTTCGCAGAAGTAAGCATCGATGTATGTGTAGGCTCAAGAAGCACGGCAAGAAGGGACGCAAGGCGCGCGATAAGAACCCGTACGAGGACTTGGACGGCGTCGCGTCGACGACGATGGCGCACATTTCGCGCGGCAAAAAGGCGATGAACCAAAAAGACTTTGTGCGGGTGACGATGCCGCATCACGTCACGTACACGCCGGGCGCCAAGTTTTAACCGATTTTGATTGATATACACAAACAGCAACATTCTTCTTCTATCGCTTGGTGAAGCCTGTGAGCACTTGCACCCAGTGGTGGGACCCATGCGTCGGGTCGGTGATCTTGAACGACGACGACGTCTACACGGCTATTAGAGTGAAGACAACATTGTCATGTCGCACCGTGCGAATCTCAAACGTCGAGTCGCCCTTGGGCACGACGCGCATGTAGCGCACGTCCCAATGGAAGATGTCGTGCGTGTTGGTCTTGGCGTCGATGAGGATGAGGCGGCCTTTGGACGTGAAGAGAAGGTCTCGCGGCTTCTTCATGAACATGGCTGCGTGCAATTTCACTTCGGACTGGAAGAGCACCGACTCGTTGTTGTCGAGGAGACCGCTGTGAGCGGTCGTCGCACTGTTGCGCAGCGAGCTGTTGTGGTTGGAGCTACACACATCTCTCTTGTCATTGCGACAGACTGTCCAAAGCGTACGAGCGTGTTGCGACGGGCAGCGGAAAGTCCGACTCGGCAAACGGGCTCGCCATGTCCGTAAAGGCTCCGGCGATCGACCAGTTGGGGGCTGCGCCGTCCTACACCGTTCAGTTGTGCAGCTGCAATAGACCAAAAGGAGTTATATATACGATCGTAGGTGTCGGGAGCGTCGCGACGTCCGGTGTCACGGGGCTGCGGGTCGTAGCGACTGCTTCCCACTCGATGCCGTCAAAGAACGGGTGCGCCTTGATCGTCGCGTACTCGGTCAGGCGCATACTGAGGTCGCGCACGAGGAGCTTGCGCACCAGGTCCCGCGCAGGTTCCGGGAATGTTGCAGGGAACTCCATTGTGTCGCTGTCGTGGGTCAAAATGTCTTGAAACGTAAAGTAGTCATTCTCGCCGCGGAATGGCGGGCGCCCCGCAAACATCTACAAGTGGAGAATATTGTCATTGACTAAGAAAGGGGTTTCGTACTTGGAAGATGATGCAGCCAAGCGCCCAGAGGTCGCTGCCGACGCACGCGGGCAGGTCATTGAGCACCTCGGGCGAGAGGTACTCGGCCGTGCCGCAAAAATTGTTGTTTTCATCTTGGTTGTCACCCGTCTAGAGGAGGTCGAGCATGAGACGGTGGCTTCTCGGGTGCACAGAGGAACGTACGGTGGCTGTGCCAAAGTCGGTCACCTTGAGCTGCCCTTGCTCGCTATTGCATTGTGATTCATGAGCGTCGATACGGTCGTCATGCGATGTACGTGAGGAGGATGTTGTCGGGTTTGAGATCGCGGTGGATGACATTCTGCTCAAAAGATGCGTGAGAACCGACTGAGACGATGGCGTAGTACGTTCGAGTGCATGTACTCGAGCGCGCACACGAGCTGCGCCATGTAAAACTGCGTGACAGACGCCGAGCAAGCTTGGTCCTGGATGCCTTGCTTGCGGTACTGGTCGCGCTCCTTGCTACTCGCCCAAGACGTGAGCTCCATGGTTGTCGTCGGAGTGGTACCAGATAAAGTGCAAGAGCTCGCCGCCACGGCAGAGTTCCATGACCATGTACAAGCTGTCGTCGTCCTAGCAAACATGAGCTTGCAGGCAAGGCGAGCGATCGCGAACCTTGAAGCTGCAATAGAACTTGACGATGTTGGGGTGCGCGAGCTTGGACATGACCTGGCGCTCCATGACGACAAAGGGCACCTTCTTGTGGCGCTTGATGAACTCTTGGTCCATGACCTTGATGGCAAAGTTGGCGCTCGTGCGCTTGAACTGCGCGTGGTAGACCTTGGCGAACGAGCCTTGGCCCAGCACCATGCCAAACATAAAGTCGCCCGGCGACATGCCCGCGCGGGGCGTCGAAGTCGAGGCGGCGGCATGCTGCACCATGGTTCAGCGCAAATCGTTCACTGCCGACAGCAATCTGGCGACTTGGTTTTTCTATGCCATTTCCATTCGAACAACTACCTCCCACAATTAATATACCCAGCGCATTCACATTGCCGCCCACGGCCAGCGCCCGCGTGCTGCTGTGCATAAAGCACCCATACGCTTGATACTGACCGCGAGGCGCGAGGTGCGAGGTGCAAGGTGTGCCGCATGTGGGTCGTCCGCGAGCTGTGCCTGGTATATAAAGTGTGGGAGGTTGTGTGGTCGGTAAAAATGGCGCACGCCGAATTGAAGTGGGCGAGAAGCGCCGGACCTTGGCCTCGGCCTGGGAAGCTGTAGACGCAGCGCCAAGAGGGCGCACGAGACGCGAATATCATCATTACGTGGCAGGTTCCTACGGGCATTAGTGCCGCTGGACGCGTCCATTACGGCCATCCTGACGTACCCCGAGGACGACAGGCCAGTGAAATTAGGATTTGTCCAAAGTGCGCTCTATTTTAGGATGGACGCGTTCGTTGCGCACGTCTTCGGCGAGCGCGATACCTATTCGTTTAGCACATCCGTGCCATTGCGATGGCTCGTCTGGCTGCGGCCGTCCACGAGCAGTCCGGTAGCCATTACGCTTACGGTCTGCGTCGGCGTCGACGGCGCGACCAAGTGCTTTGAGAAGCAGCTTCTGGCGACCGAGCTTCAAGCCCATGTTGCAAGCGCGTTGATGCCATGGCTCATCGCATGGAATAGATGCAAGAGCTGGGCGTCAATGGCGATCTCGGCATGTTTGCTGCGCCTTTCAAGGTACTTGCTTTGGTACGTTGCTGAGCTGGAGCAACAAGCGTAGACGGCGCTCGAGTCGGCGGCGAATGTGAGCTTGAGTGTCGAAGACAATGGCAGCGCTTGTGTCAACGTCACGTACCTCTTTGGCCCATCCTTGCTTCGCCGAGGTATAAACATCCCAGCAGTGTTACGCTATCTGGGCTGCGTAGGCCAATTCATCTTGGACGCTGGGCAAGTCCTACCGGAAGCAGCCTATGCACTGCTCGCCGACCTGCATGGCCTTCGCACCGAGAGCGCCGAGGTACGACTGCTGTGCTATTCCTTGCACAACAAAAGAGACCACTAGGATGCTCGTCTTCGTCGGATGCGACGGTCGGCCTCGCTGCAGCCGACGACCGCCTCGGTACCCCTCAGCTTCACCACGGCGCCAGCCATCACGAGCTCGACGTCGTCTGCGCCCAACCCGCTCAAGCGCAAGGCGGCGCTTCCCATGGGCGCGAGGTATGCGCCGTCTGCATCAACATACGTGCAAAGTTTCGTTCGATTAGACGCAAGGGCAGCCGCGGTGTCAAGCTCGCCTTCGCCGACGACGACGACGCGGCTTAAGCACAATCTCACTCTTGGTGATGGTACATGTGCTCGGCGTACATGGACGCTGTCAGGGACGGACGGCGCACGGCGTCAGGGTCCAGCGGGCGAACGTCCGGGTCGATGGGAGCGAGGTCCTTGAGTAGAGCCGCGCACTCCAGGTTGCCGCGAAGTACCGCAGATGCGTGCGCGTTACGCCCCGACTAGCATCGGATTAGCATCACTGGCTTGTAGAAAATGACTCGATTACGTCATCGACGGCACCCGGGTCGGCGCCGGCCTCCAAGAGCACGGAGATGGCACCCACTTGGTTCTTCTTGGCGGCGACGATGAGCGGTGTCGCGTGGTTCTACGCAGATCCTGAGACTCGTTTCTACGAGAGTTGTCAAGACGACCTTGTCGGGGAGGTTGACATCCGCCTTGGCGCGCACCAACAGCTCGACCACCTTTTCGTTGGGTGACCCACAGTAGCACGCGTGGTGGAGCGGCGTCGAGTGTTGCTACACGAAACATCGTCACGCATTGTACATGCTCGGCCCGTACGTTGTTGCTTGCGTCCACGAGCGCGCCGGCCTCGAGAAGCGCTTCGACGCACTCGACAGAGCCCGCCATGGCTGCTGCGTGCAATGGCACGTTGCCAAACTGGTTGACAGCGTCGACCATGGACCAGCGCGGCGCGTTCTTGTCGTTGGCGTCGTGGAGGTCGTCTTGGAACTGGTCCTTGTGCTCGATGAGCAAGCGCACGATCGCGGGGTTGCGTTGAAAGCACGCTTCGTGGAGCGGGCTATTGGCGTCCTACAGAGCCAGCCATGATGCACGAACGTCGACATGCCTCAGCGCACGGGTGTGCGCAGCGCCGCAACGTCGGCGCCGCCATCCAGAAGTGCGCGGACAGTCTCGACGTGGCCGCCAATGATGGCTGCAATCATTGGCGTCGAGCCATACTACGTGAGGCGTGAGCCCATCGCCAGCAAGCATCGACTTGGTACGTGGTTGCGCTGGTGAAAGTTGACGTCGGCCGTCTTCTCCGATAAAAGCTCTTGCACGCGGGCCGTGTCGCCGGCGAGCGCCGCTGCATATAGCTGCTCGGTCTCCTTGGCGACGAGCCGATTCGTGCTCATGGCGGCTGAAACGGACTTCCGACTTTGCCGAGCCGATCTCGGGCTAAAATCACGCCACTGAACCCACCAGTCTGCAAATGAGCAGGCTCCGCGGTCCATCTCGACGGGAGGCGACGCAAGGGTACAAGCCGATTGGCCGACGACATGGTATGTTCTTGCACTGACGGCGGTGGGCACCACTAGGCGCTCTAGCAACCCTAACCCTCTTGTCGCTGCCGCTGGATTCTTTTCTGGCCCATTGAGCGACTAGAAATGCGGTGGTGATTTCTTATTGTACGAGAATGACGAGCCGTACTAGCGCCAGCTTGCTGCTGCTACAAGTGGACGCGGGGACCTGCATTGGCTTCAAGGCGCTTCCACACCCGCTCACTGCACTCCCGCATTCCAATGGCAGTGACTGGTCGGCGCTCTACCCCCAGTTCACTCTGGAGCAAGCCGTCGCGTACGCCCCCAACCAGTGGGAGCGGGGCCACGCTCAAGTTCAGATCGTCGCACTTACGCTTCGTACACCACTCACGCTCCTGTTGTGCAACGACCACGTCTTTCGAGCTGGCTCGATCGATGGCGCGGCCAAGGCAGCGCGACTTCGCGAGGTGTATACGCAGTTCCAAGCACAGCGTCCCCTTTCAACGTCGTTGCCGCTGCTGGATGCCTTTGGTGCCATTGACACGGCCGTCGTTCTTTGGGACGCAACGACGCCCGAGCTTTTGTTGCCTCACGCGCTGACCTCGACCGACCGACTGCACGTCTCGTCACCGCTCATGATTCTGGAAGAGAGTGCGACGTGGCCGTGCTCCCTTGGTCGCATTGTGGGCCACGAAGACCTTCCGCGCGCCTTGTTGCTCGACAGCGCGACCTGGCTCCCAGCAGTACGCCTCGATCCATCCACGACCGTGGCGCCATCCCTCTTGACTGCCATCGCTCGCCATTTCAATACGTGTTGTAGCTAACTCGCTTGCGAGCGACTCTGCATTCGTCGTCGTCTGGTCAAGTGTGTGGGTGATGTAGCACTTCACAGACAGGTCCATAGCTCCATGCAGGAAACGACACATAACCCATCGATGATGCAGAGTTCGTCACAGCGAGAGAGCAATCGAATAGCACCATCTCGAGCAAGTTAGTCGTTGTATGGGACGTACTCGAGGTCTCGGCAGTTGTTGAACTGCGCGTAGTTGTCCTTGTAGTGGGCCGCGGTCGGGTCGATCCCCGAGAAGGCGCGAAACTGCGCAAACGTGCGCTTGGTGCCGAGGCCAAACTTGTCAATGTCGGTCTTGTCGTAGTCGTCACTGGTCGTCGAGAGGCCAAGGACGGTCCGGATGCGGCGCTTGGCCTTTTGCTGGATGACGTACCGGTCGCCCCAGTCGCGCTCCCAGACCACATTGCGCTTCTCGTACCAATGGTACACGACCTGGCGCTTTGGCACGTACATGTCGTAGCCGTGCGTGAAGAGCCGCGCGGCCTTCGAGTACTCTTCGCCGTGAAAGAGGTACGGCGTGTACGGGTCGTTCCGGACCTCCAGCGCCTGGATCGCCGTGCCAAAGTTGAAGCCGCCCGCAAACTGCGACATGAGCCGGGGCTTCTCGGGCACAGGAATGAGCTGGACGGCGTCGTACGAGATCATGGCGTCGGCGTCTTCGGTCTCGATCTTGCCCGTGCACATGAGGATCGCGGTCGTGTCGAGGGACGTGTCCATGTTGCGCGGCGTGTTGTCGGTCGAGCGCGGGTAGACAGTGATGATCGCCTTCTCGTTCTCGAGCGAGTCCCACTGCTCGATGAGGTCCTTATCCCAGTGCGGCACAAACACAATGTGCGAGTCGATCGCGAGCGAGAACGTGTCGATCGCGAGGTCGATGCCCTTCTCCGTTTGGTAACGCGCGAACGTCGGGCCCGTCGCATGCAGCGCGTTGATCGTATCGTTGCGGCGCAGCTGCGACCGGCGGCAATTGGCCTCGCCGACCTTGTCGCAGTACGCGTCGTAGCACCGGCCTTCGTCCTGCTCTTCGTAAATTTGGTCAAAGATGCTCACCGAGAGCAAGTCGGGCTGCGACGCCTGCGCGTACATGGACTGGAGCGTCTCTGCGCAGCGCGCCGTGTCGCGGTAGTTGGCGATGAGCACGATGGTGCGGCGCTCGTGCTTGGTCGTGCCCTGCGGCAGGCCGCGGTCGACCTGGCGCAGCCGCGGCTCAAGCGCCGCCTGGCTGCTGCTGTTGTGGACGAAGCTCAGGTTGACGCGGATGAGGACGCAGACGACGAGGAACATGCCCAGCATGATGATCGTGTTCATGTTGAACCGCCACGAGGACCGGCCGCGTGGCATCGGCGGCGCCATGGTGTTGGAAAATGGGCGCTGCGTCACAGCTGGCGTCTCGACACTCGATACCTTTCTATATTGATACTAAGCATTTTCGAATTCACTTCCTGCTTCATAAATTATATAGCACTATTGTAAATACCTGTGAAAATCAATATATTGTGACAGTGAATATTTGCTGGCCAAGCGCAGGGCGACCGACGACAAAACATCCGGTTATTCGATCGCGATATCCGGCCTCGTGCCGGTTACACCGCGTCGGGACACAGGCATGGACCGCTTGGCCCAGCAGTACCATGTCGAGGACGTCGGCCGGATCCTCCTACAGGCGCAGGATGAGCTGCGCAACATGCGCGAGCAGGTCCTTACGAGCAACAACATCGACATCGATGCGCTGCAAGCGATCCTCGAGCGCGCTGAGCTGGACCTGCGCTCCAAGGCCGAGGTCACCCGCCTATCTGGGCGCATGCAGCTCAGCCGTACGCTGTGTAGATCGTCTTGAACGGCGTCGTCAACAACACGATGAAGACGCTGCCGGTCATCGAAGCGCCGGGCGGCGGCCAGCCGTCTGTCTCCAAGTTCTCGTCGAAATTGGCCAAGCAGCGCGAGCTCGCCGACGCGATGGCACGCGACGTTTGTCTATATCGCTGCAGCTCGCACGCATCTCAGCAACGTGTAGGGCTCGCTGGACGATCACAGAACGCGCAGCTCGCCCGTCGAGAGGCTGCGACAGGTAGCGCGTGCGAGATCGTCGTCCGCGTATATTCTCATCCGTGCGCCATGTCATGTAGCAACTGGGCCAGCCCGTCGTGCCCGTCGAACGAGATCGCCCGCCAGGAAAGCGGCCCATTGGGCGAACGATGCAAGTCGGTCGCTTGATCAAAAAGAAAGTCACGGGCCCCCAACGACTCCTTCCCAAAGTACAGTTTTGGTTGCAGCCAGCGAATCCGACGCGCGTAGGTGAACCGCATCGACCCGCTGGCTCCCGTGCCCGACTTGGAAGACGACGACGCCAAGCGCGGCGTGCTCAACCTCGTCAACCGCGGGTTCATTCCGACATCGGCAGACCTCTCCCTCGCCTTTACGCACGGCGACGGCATCATTCAAAACAGGTGCGGCTGATGAGCACCGCTTCCGAATATATAAAGGACGTGCGTAGCAAATTGCGGCTGTACGACCGGTCCGAACAGCCCGTCAAGTCCCAGCCCTACATGAACTCGTCGAGCTTCAATGTTGCGTCGCTCAAGCTCGACTTGGCGCCGCCACCGACCGAGCCGGACCCGACGCCGTTGACGCGGCTAGCTGTCGCTCGGAATAAAAAATCAGCGGTTGCGACGGTCCAGCTCACGTTTCCAGGCGCAAAGGACGAAGGCGACGTGGTGCCCGTCGAAGACCCGACGACCGACGACGGCCCGATTGAGCCCACCGACACGATTGACGTATAAGTCCTTCGTCTACTTGCATCCGAGTCACACTTGCGTAGGAATTGCGCAACAACGTCGAGAAGATTCGAGGCTACAACGACCTCCTCGACACCTACAGGTCTCCCCGCTGCTGCCACGACTCGTATATTGATTTGGGCCTAGTTTACATCAATTTATCATTCGGAAAGGCCAAACGCTCGCCGAGACGCCCGAATTCATCTCGTTCAAGCGCATCACGGAAGACCTCTGGGGCAGTGTCTCGATGGCGATTCGCGAGCTCGAGACGCTCCTCATCAACTACTCGGTGCCGCTCGCCTATATTGACGGGCAAAAGCTGCTCAAGATTGCAGCCATGGACGCCGTGTCCCGCTCCAAATCGGAGCTACTTACGTGTGTTCTCAACGTCGACGAGGTCACAACCTTTATGGCGCGGCCAGGCCAGCGCTTCAAGGGCGAAGACAGCCGGCACGCAGCGGCCATACTCCTCCAGTCGGTGTACCGCATGCACTTGACGCGACGCCGGCTGCGGCAACACCACGGGCACTCGTACGCGTCGCACATTCAGCGCGTGTACCGGACGTACAAGAGCGTCAAAGAGATCCAAGTCAAATTGCGACTGGCTCGCGAGGCCGACGCCCGCACGTGGGAGACGCAAATGACCGCGTTTCACGCCAACTGGGACAAGGTTGGGGTCCCTGTTGCCAGGGTTGCTTGATAAGTTGATAGATCAAAATGCAGCGGCGGGTCGTCGTGCACGTGCCGTCCTTCTCGGCCGAAGAGCGCACGCGGCTCAATATGGACAACTTTGCAATTCGCCAGAATTTGCAAATGGCGCGTCTCTGCGCGATCGCAGATCCGAACGTCGACGTCATCTACATTTCGCCGTTCGAGCTCTCGGCTGACATTCAAAAGTACATGATGCGACTGCTGCAGCTCGGCGGCGTCGCGGACCCGCACTCGCGCGTCCGAATGCTGCACCCGGAGAACGCCGAGCGCTTCCCCGAGCACTTTTCGTTGGCGACGATCCTCCTCTACTCGCCGCACTGCCTCAAGAAGATCAAGCGCTACGTCCGCGGGAAAGAGGCGTACATCGTCGCGGGCACCGTGGGGCCCGAAGACAAGCGGCTCGCGATCCGACTGCAGCTGCCGCTACTGGGCATGGACCCGGACCGCGCGCTGCTCTACGGCACACGTGTACGCTGTATTGGCATCAGACAGTGTCTCATGCGGGATCTAGTCGGGTGCCAAGCGGCTATTTACTCAAGCCGACGTCAACATTCCGTTTGGCGCCCATGACATTTACGACGAGGACGAACTGATTCTGAGCTTGGCCAAGCTCACGGCCGCCAACTTGCACCAAGGCATGTGGCTCATCAAGGTGATTTCATTGCATTTCTGGCATTTCGCTAAACTTGTATCGGGTGTAGCTGGATGCGGACCCGTCCGACACGGGCTTGGCGTCTATCGACATGCACGCGCTCGAGTGCGTCAATAAGGTCCGCACCGAGAAGCGCGCCATGAAGAACGACGAGTACTACAGCCAGCCCAACATCAAGGAAGGCATCGTGCGGGCGATCGTGGCCGAGCTCAGCGAGCAGTTTCACCGGCTCATTTCGCCTTGCTTTCCCGACGTATCCCCGTCGTCCTGGAACAGGATGCCAACGCCATTGCATTAGGTCTACCCCACGTGGCAGCACATGCGTCCCGTGGTCAACCGCATCGGCGCCGTCATTGAAGTACGAGCATTTTGGTTATTGGTTGCCGATGGCGCTCGGTGTAGGCGTACCCACCCAAAGTCCTCGCGCGCGTCCGCGCCAACGTCTTCATCGAGCCGTCCGGCGGTGTGCACTTGACGTCGGCGCAGGAGCAGTTGATGCAGGCCAAGAACAAACACCAAAGCGTCGGCGCCGTGTACCCGTCGACGACCGTGCCTTATGCAGCGATCCGCGTACGTTGCCGCCTTTCTTATTGCGTCTTAGTGCGCTCATAAAGGGAGCGTCGTTGGCGGTTGCGCAAGCCATGTACGCGAGCGGCATCATTGGCTACGCAAGCATCGACTATGTGGCGTTTCTCGATGTCAAGACGGTCAACGGGAAGGCGGGGCCGCCGCACTTGCGGCTCTGGGCGCTGCAGCTCTTGCCGTGCCTCACGCCGACGGCCATGTCGTTCGTGCTCTTCACGTTTTTGTCGTGTGCGACGCTGGACGCAGCGACAGGGCGCAGCTTCCTTCCGCAGCCCGCACCGCATCCCTCGCCGGCGACGGGGCAATTGCCGGTGACCGAGACGCAGTTGGCGGTCGAAAAGATCTTGAGCGAGAGTCCGCGCAGTTCAAACGTGGGGCCTGAGCGCGCCTACATTGCGCACGAGTACATCTTCCATCCGAACATGGCGACGCTCCAGTACGCCGTCTTCTTCAACATGTGCCGCGTGCACGGCGTGAGCTTCGACCTGCAGGTATTTGCGGCACCCTCCCTCTCGGGTCTATAACTGTGGGCGCATAGAAATCCATTGGGGCCGCGTTCGTCTTGGCCGACAGCCTGACAGCCGGCGTCGTCGGGCTTCTCTGCATTGGCGAGTCGGACAAGGAGGCCGTGCGCTTGACCCGCGCCGCGCTCGAGCTCATTGGCGACCAAGTCGGCGTGCAGCCGGCGCCAGACGCGCTTACGGGCGAGCGACTCGGCAACTTTGCCGCCGTCCTTGGAGCGATCCGGTCGCGGCACGACGACATGGTCAAGCGAGCCAAAAAGGCCCGGACCTCGACCTAAGTGCCCTAATCTCTGTTGTAGTCTACCATTCTATTATTTACGATATTAAAACGACTCGTCGCTTAGACGTCAAACGTCACTTTGGGCTTCTTGGAGGGTTTGTACGGTACGTTGCCTTTGGTCAAGTAGTGAATCCCGCGCTCGACGTTGATGTGCGTCACCTCCTGGGACCGCGCCGTGTCGACGAGGTAGTCAAAGAGGCCCTTCGACTGCAGCCGGTACACCCCCGTGTCTTCGTCGACGGTCACAATGTCCTCGAACGAGCGCGCAATGAGCGCGAGATCCGGCTGGCCGAGCTTAAATATGTGCTGCACGTCCGACTCGGTCACGAACGGACACGCGTTCTTCTCGTGCGAGATCGTGGCCGCGCCGACGATGGCTTCGAGGACCGCTTGCACCTTCTGCCACACGCGGCGCCGGCCCTTCCCGTACTTTTCTTCAAACACTTGGTCGTAAATCTCGTGGAGCGTCTTGGGCAGCTCGAGGATCATGCCCGCGTCAATCTCCGAGTGGATCATCGAGAACGCTTGGTCGACGAACTGGAGGTACAAGAAGCTGCCTTGGCTCTTGGCCTTGAGGAGGAAGAGGATGTTCTTGTCGTCAAGGCCGTGCTTGTCCATGACCGACTGCACTGCGATCGTGCAGTCGGCGGCGAACGGCCGGTGCTCCATATGAAAGTGCAGCACGTCGTGGGCCGGCAGCGCTTTCAACACGCTTTCGACGAGGCGAGACGAGAGCAGGAAGAGGACCCAGCTCGGAAACTCCAGCGCGACGTCCGCCAGCAGCGAGATGAGGTTGGCGCCCGGAGTCGAGACGTCCTCATCGACCGCGTCGAGGACGATGACTTGGCTTTCGAGCGGCGCCGGCATCGACCGCAGCGGCTCGATGAGGAGCTTGGTCGCGAGCACAATCGGGTCGGGTTCTTGGATGAGGTACGGGAGGTTGAGGCGCACGAGTTGCTGCTGATAGTCGGGCAATTTGCACGAAATCTGGTGCGCGAGCGACATGAGAATCGCACTTGGTGCGTGGCGCTCGTCGTAGCGCACAAAGTGGCTCGCCATGATCTGCTCCGGGTAGTTGGACACGAGGTGGCTGAGTAGCGTCGACTTGCCGGCGCCGGCGCCACCGACAACGTTGAGCACACGCGACTCGTTGGTCGGGCCCGCATCCTGCGCCCACTTGATATACTGGTTGATGGCCCACGTGCGCGTCGACGGCAGCATCTCCATGGCGGGCCGCTGCGTGTTGAGGAACGGCAAATGCTGGTTCAAGACGTTTTCCCACGGCTGCGTGAGCGCCTGGTCTTTGATGGGCTGACGCGTCGATTCGCGAAAGAGCAACTTGGACGACTCGCGACTGAGCTTGGACGACTCGCGACTGAGCTTGGATGACTCGCGGCTGAGCTTGGACGACTCACGGCTGAGCTTGGACGAGGCCCGCGTCGACTCGCGGAAGACTGTGGACTCGCGCTTGGGCGGGGACGGCGTGCGGCTGGCAGCCGGAAGGTACGGCACCTTAGGATTGGGTTCGAAGACCTCGGGCTCTTCGTGCGTCGAGTCCTCCGAGTCGGCTTCGCTCGAAACAGTCGCGTCCGACATGACGCTGAGCTTGCGATCTTCCGTGCGAAGCAGCGGGGTCGCCACTGCTCGCGGAGTCGACTGTTGATGCATGGCATCCACGAGCTGCATGACAGCGCCGCGGAGCATCGTCATTTCCTTGAGCAGGTCGTATTTGGTCGTATGGAGCTCCATCATGACGTCGCGGCGGATACCGTCGACGTGGCGCTTCATCTCGTCAACCGCAGCGTCCATCGCCATCGACGGCGCCGGCGCGTCCGAGGTATTTTCAAAACCGGTTGGCTCGTCGCGGTACGCTTTCGCCGGTACAATATGGTTGGTCGCTTGGTTGGAGATGGCGCGGCGCGTGCTCTCGCGCACCGAGCCCTCGACGTGGTCGAGTCGTGCAATCGTCTCGCGCTTGTACTCGTCGAGCTGCTTGTTCATGCTCGCGACCGTCTCGTGAAGTGTATCGAGCTGATAGCTCGAGTAGTTGGAGGCGGTGACCGCCGACGCAGTGACGCCCGAGAGCGTCACCCGCTCGCGGGGCATGCTTGCGGTCACATCGTCGCCGCGCAGACCGCCCATTTTGGACGAGCTCCTTCGGAAAAACTTGGCCATGGCGTGTGCGTGGCGGCGCTGTTGCAGGAATGATGCAATGTGTAGGTGGTGCACAGAGGCAGCTGACTCGACGCGCGCGCATGATCTCAGCGCCATGCATTCTACATCTGCGGACGATTTCTGGATCTCATTCCGAATGGCGCCTCAGAAGCTAAAAATAGATTTTCGACGGGATTTGGACCAATCACATGCGGTGTACGTCGAGATTGCCTTTGGGCGCTGCGATACATGACTTCTCTGCCGCCAGATGCGGTAGCGAGTCGGTCGGCAGGACCGCAGCAGTAGCGCGTTGGACCTCGTCTCTGCGAGAGCTTTGGCAGTATGCATGCGCCATGATGGACGGACAACTTTGGGTTCGCTCCGTGGCAGGGATCCAGTGAGGCGTTGATTTGCCCGGTCGCCATCTCCTGGCGTTTGTATGGCGAGAGGGTTTCGCCGTCCGCGACATCCCGCCGATATAAACCAACGACGAACGCGCTCGGAACACAAGGAGGTCGTTGCATGTTCGCCGAACCTTCGCGTTGCTGGCTTGACGACGCGTCGCGGCCGATGGAGATGCGAGGTTCATGGTTGTGGCCCAAGGAGGAATATCATTTTGCTGTAGGATACGCGGAAAGAATGCGAGGATCGAGTTGCGGTTCGATGGGCGGAATCTCCCAGTCATTTTGATTTGCGAACGATGTGCCGCATTCGACAGCGGAATGCAAAGAGAGTTCATGGCGCTGTACCCACGTCGTCAATGAGCACGGCACAGCGTTGCCAACGCAGTCGCGAGGCTTGTATCGCGTGCAGGTACCACGAAGAAATCCGAGTTGATTGGGATGACGGCGCGTATTACGCGAGGCTGTGCAGCAACGGCGAAGCCACGTATCGCCGTAAAAAGCTGCTACATGGCACAATTGGTGACAGAGCGAGCGTTGGCTTGGTCTTGCTTGAGCTCTGTTGGCGCGCCACGTCAGTCGAGTTGGACAGCACCAGACCGATGGTGCTGCTACATACTAGAGTATATCCGAAGCGATGCTCTTGTATGCAAGTTGTGATAGCGCCCGCGGTGCAGACCACACACAACAAAGTGCAGGTAAGGAGTAGGCAGCTATTCGTGTACCAAGGGCATTCGTTGTACTGTACTTGACGAGCGTGCATATTCGACGAACAACGTTGGTAGGGAAACTCGACTTCAGCAAGGCTCATAATGTCGTCAGAAGCACTTCCGTATTCTTATCGCTCGCACAAGAACGCCCATCGAATCGAGCACTCTATCTTTTGAGATGCCATGAGCTCGTGCTCGGTTTTACCTTTGATTTGCTGCTCGCCAGGAAGGACTGCAGCTTGGTCCGGGCGGCGCTTGCCTCGAGGCACGAGCCCAGTCGCGTAGCAAGGTCAAGCCAGGACAAAGCCCACGGAAGAACGAATGCTAGCCTCACGAGCCAACATCGCTTGACCACACCGCACGAGCAGGTCAGCAAAAGGACTGTACCCCGTCAGCACTTAGTGACTTAGATTGAAGCGAACGAGTTGCTTCTACCAATTACCTACCACCTCTTTAGCTAGTATCCAAGCTTTTGCTTCACGACCGTTCACTTCGTGCTCACGATGTGCTTGGATCTGGTCATGAGTGGCATGGGGCGATCCCGCTGCGGCCACGTCACTGCGGGCAACCGGACGCGCTATCCGAACAGGTATGTCCGGATACAATTATCCGGACATCGATTCTTGGAGGTTTGTCACGAGCGAGGGCCTTTCGGTTTGCCAACCGCACACTTTCGTCGAGCAAGTCATGCGTCCTTCCGCGGTCGTCTCGGCCATCTTTGCGCTGTGCTGCTGCATGGGCCTCTCGCAGGCGGAGATCATCAACAAGTCGGTACGCTTCTGCGCATGAAGATGCGTCTCTTCCGAGCTCTCGAATGACATGCAGCTTGGGCTAGGTCAAGCGCAGCTGGGACCTGACGCGCCACGTGGCCAAGAGCCAAGTGGACATCACGTTCGCTGATGATGCGGCGTCGGTCAAGACGTACGAAGTCGCGATTCCTCTGTACCTGGACGAGCACTTGGCGCTCTTGACGGCCAAGGCGGACAAGAACGTGGCGCTGGACGTCGTCAAGGGCAAGCTCGACGCGACCAAACAGGCGCAGCTCTACACGGTGCACTTGAAGTCGCCGATTGCCAAGGGCGACGAAGGCTCCTTGAAGATCATTTCGCACTACAGCCGCGTCATGGTGCCGTACCCGGCCGAGATCACGCAGGCCGAGGACCAACTTGTAATGTTCACGGCGCAGCACTTGTTCTTGTCGCCGTATGCGACGACGACGCAGACAACGCGCGTCAAGCTCGCGTCGAGCCGCGTCGAGCAGTACTCGGAGCTCGCGCCCGTCTCGCTCAAGGGCACGACGCTCACGTACGGTCCGTACGCGGACGTGGCGGCGTATGGGTCGTTGGCGTTTGCCAAGTCGCTCGTCGTGCACTTCAAGAACCATGCGCCGTTCATGACGATGACGACGCTCACAAAGGAGATCGAAGTGAGCTTGTGGGGCCGCGTGAGTACCGAGGAGGTCGTCGACTTGTCGCACTCGGGTGCGGTGCTCAAGGGCGGCTTCTCGCGCTTCGACTACATGCAGATGCCGTCGGCGTCGTTCCGCCAGTTCACGGCGACGCTGCCCAAGGACGTGCTCAACGTCTACTACCGCGACCAGATTGGCAACATCACGACGTCGCGCATGCGCCAGACGACGTCCCGCACCGAGCTCGAGCTCAACGCGCGCTTCCCGCTCTTTGGCGGCTGGAAGACGCAGTACTACCTCGGCTACTCGGTCCCGACGCAGACTGTCCTCTTCCGGTCGGGCGAAACCTACAAGCTCGAGATGGACTTTTCGACGTGCATTGACGGCGCGTCGGTCGACGACCTCACGCTCAAGGTCATTTTGCCCGAAGGCGCGCGCAACATCAAGGTGCACGTGCCGTTTTCTGTCGACGTCCAGGGCGAGACGACGCGCCAGACGTACCTCGACACGGCCATGGTCGGCCGCCCCGTGGTCATCCTCAAGAAGACCAACGTCGTCGCGCAGCACAACGTGCCGTTCACGGTCACGTTCGAGTACCCGTCGCGCTTCTTGTACCGCGAGCCGCTCCTTTTGATTGGCGGCTTCTTCGCCTTCTTTGTCGTCTGCATGGTGCTCTTCCGACTGGACTTGAGCCTCACGAAGGCCGCTGTCTCGACGTCGCCCAAGGCCAAGGTCGAATAGAGCACATGTCGTCGGTAGCGCACGCGACCGTCATTGAAACCCTTCTCCTTACACTACGTGCATGCTATAATGTTGCCACAACTCTGCACAAAGCGTACAGTGAATGACAGAGACTGGGAATGCGCATTACTTGGTGGACGCAGTACGAGGACCGGTGCAGGCTCGTTGCCCTTGGGTACCATGTACGCAGCATTGCATCGCACAAACGATGAAGAAGGCATGGACTTTTCACAGGGAAGGTGATGCTAAATGCTGAGGTTGTCGCTGGAAGACAAGCGCGAAACCTAGCCCTACCCTAATCCCCGAAAGCTCCGGAATGGTTTACTGACTAGAAGCTCGCCTTTGCAGTGTAAAGGACAACTTTGTGCTTTTACCATCGAGGTAGAAGAAGCGTTCTGCATCGCATTTCCATTTCATCGATCGAAGCAACATGACTCTCTACAGCGCAACGTACCACCAGGACAAGGAGGCCCGTCGCATGGCGGCGCTCGAAGCCCAACTCCGCATCTCGCACCCGTTCCGCCGCCCCGCCACCACCAAGTCGGCGGCCAAGTCCACGCCCAAGCCAGCTACACGCTCCACTACTGCCACTGCGGTGCGCTCTGCACCTCGCACCAGCAACACGCCGATCGCGCGTCCTGCATCGGATTTGGCACGCGACCACAAGATGGAGATCGACCGTTTGCAAGCCGAGCACCAAGCTACTTTGGCTGCCATGACCGAGAAGCTCCATGCTGCCCACGACCACGTGCTGGAGCTTGCGCACCGCGTCCTTCGGCGCGACGACACGATCGCTGCGCTCCGCGAAAAGCTCGAGCGCCGCGTTGCACGCAAGGAGGCTGAAGTGCAACACCTCAAAATGCACTTGGTTGACGCCAACGCCGTTATTGCCGAAAACAAGACTACGATTGCGGAGCTCAACGAGCAACTCATCAAGACCGAGACGGTCCTCGCCGACACGGTCGCTCAAAAGGACGGCACGATCGCGCAGCTCTCGGAGCAAGTGACGAGCCTGAAGGCCCAAGCAGCAGGAACCTCCAACGACGCGCTGGGCGCTGCCAACGAGCGCGCGATCCAGCTCGCACACCGCGTCCTTCGGCGCGACGATACGATCACTGCGTTGCGGGAGAAGATGGAGCGCCGCCTTGCACGCAAGGAGGCCCAGGTGCAGCACATCAAGATGCACTTGGTCGACGCCGACGCCACCATTGCCAAGAACAAGACGACGATTTCGGAGCTCCAAACATGGGTCAAGAGCCTCGAGACCCAGATTCACGCCGCCATCGCCTCCAACGACTCGCTTCTCGCGACTCTGCAGCAGCCAACTCGAGCTTCTTTGTGGTCGAATGGACCGCCGCACTCGACAGACGACTTGGACTCGCTCGCCTCGTCCGAGATGGAGCCACTTGCAGAGCCATCGTCTTGCGTTTCACCGACTTACCCCATCAACAGCGTCCGCCAACTCGTCAACGCCACCTCCAACTACAACAGCCAGGGCGAGGCAACGTGCCAGACGCATTGGATATACAACAACTAGGAATAAGATCTTATAATACGATAATCAAATAAAAATCAAGTACAGACTTGATGGCTGCAGCATCGAATGCTGCCCACACCAAATGCAAGCTCGCGGCGCGTGACGAAGGGAGAAGACGCGGTGGCGGCAGGTCCAAAATGCACTGAATAAAATTGAATTCTTCTTAGTTTATTGCCTGCTGCTAGTCGACTGTTTACCACCGCTTGCTCGTGGCTTTGCTCGTGCCCTTGGTGTTGGTCGCGGTGCTGTTGCTGTTGTTGTTGCTGTTGCCGCGCATCGCGTTCGAGTTGCCCTTGGCGTTGTTGGGCCGCGCGTTGTTGGCGCTGCGGTTGTCGTTCGGGCGGCGGTTGCCCGCATTCGAGGCCTCGTCCTTGGTGCTCAGCGCCGCCGAGCGCAAGTCCATCATGCGCTCGTTGTTTTCGACGAGCGTGCCAATCTTGTCCGAAAGCTGGAGCGCGAGCAGCTGGAGACGCGTGCGCTCGACCTTGTGCAGCACGATCGACTGCGAGCCCTGATCCCACGCACCCTGGAGCTCTTCGTTGATCATCATCTTGGACACGACGCTGTGGACGGTCTTCGAGTCAAGGCCAAACATGGCGCAGAGCTGCGCGAGGTTGAGCGCCTCGTACGCATCCGAGAAGGCCATGAGGTACGAGCGAAGCGCTTCGACCTGGATCTTCTGCTGAACCATGGCCTTGACGCGCTCCGAGACACCGGCGCCGGGGAAGAGGTCCCAAACTGCGAGGCCGCAGATGAGCTCCTTGCTGTACTGCCAGTTGCCCTGGGCCATGGCCTTGGCCGCCGACACAATGTGGTCGCGCGTGTTCTCGGGCGGGCCCGCAAACACGAGGCGGTCGTGGAACTCGAGGAGCTTGCGGAAGGCCTTGGAGATGACGCGGCGACGGTCCTGGGTGCGCGAGAGCACCATGTTGGGCACTTCAAGCAGCATGGCCGACGTCAAGTGGCAGAGCTCAAGCAGCTCCAAGTTGATGTGCATGTGGTACGGCACCTGGCGGCGGCGCTCGAGGCGTTCCTGGTCCGGGTCGCGCTCCTGGTGGCGGAACGACGCGAGGCCCTGCGCGAGGAGCTCCTTGGTCTTGGAGCCCGTGCAGATCTCCGAGAGGCACGCATGCGCTTCCCACATCAAGCCCGAGCGGAAGGCGCACAAGCCGAGCTGCGCCATCATGCGGTTGAAGAGGATCTGCGTCGCAATGTCCGTGTGCACGATCGTCTCCTGCAAGTGCGACATGAGGAGCAAGTCGCGCGCTTCGTGGAACCGGTCGTGGACCGCGTGGTGGTAAATGTGGCACAGCATCGCGCGCGTCTTGCTGCGGTCGTCCGCGTGCTTGTACACAAAGAGGCAGAGGTCGTTGAGCTCGTTCTCAATGTCAAGCGGCGCAACCTCGACCGTCGGCTGGCCGAGGATCGACGCCGGGTGCACGAGCGACGGGTTGTACTCCTTGATGGGCACGGCCTTGGCGGTCGTCGACTCGGACGCCGGGTGCAAAAGGGCAGGCTCGCCGTACTTGGCGCGCTTGGCGTTCGACACGTGAAGCGCCGACGCGATCGACTCGTGCTTGTAGTACATGAGTTCGGCGCGGATGAGCGCAACGGCAGCCGCGCGGACAAAGTCGGTGATGCGCACGTAGTAGGCCTGGACGCGGCGAGCGAGCTCCGAGAGGAGCGCTTCGTCGTAGAGGCGCGCAATGTACTCGGCCGTGTGCGGGTCCATCTGCTGAAGGCTCTTGGTGTATTCGTCCGTGAGGCGCTCGATGAACGCGGCAAGGTCACCCGAGACCTTGATGACGCCCTTGGAGCCAGCGACCGGGAGGTGGTCCGCGACAGAGTCGTCGTCTTCCTCGTCGTCAGCATTCGCGTCGGCGTTGTTGCGCGACGCCGTGACGCGGATGATGTCGGCCTGGTCCTCGGACGTGAGCGGCGCGAGCGTAAAGCCCGCGTTCTTCTCGAGGAGGTCCAGGATCGTCTGCATGTCGCTGTGTGCCTGCTTCCAGAGGCGCGTCGAGAGCACCTTGTCGATCTTGCTCGACGTGTCAAACATCGTGGCACCGACCATGTACATGGTGGCCGTGAGCTCACGGGCGGGGCCGAGGCGGCGAGAGTACTGGACGAGCTTGCGGAGCGCCGAGAGCTGCTCACCAATGTCCGTACCGCGCTTACCGCGGAGGGCGATGACCTCCTTGATCTTCTTGTCAAAGCCGCTCTTGGAGAGCTTGAGGTCTTCTTCAGCCGCAGGCTTCTTGGCCTCGGCGACGACCTTGACCTTCTCGGCACGGGGCGCCTTGGGGCCCTTGACCTTAGGGCCCTTCGTGTTCACGGCAGGGGTCGCCTTCAACCAACGCGCACGGCCCTTGAGGAGGTTGACATTGGCGTCGTCGTCGTCAGACGACGAGCTCGAGCTCGAGCTCGAGGCCCAGTTGTCCGAGTTATCATCGTCGTCCGAGTCGTCGTCGTCCGAGTCCTTGTCGTCCGACGACTTGCCAGAGGACTTGTCCGAATCGTCCGAGGCACTGTCCTTCTCCGAGTCATCGTCGTCCGAGTCATCGTCGCTGTCCTTGTCCGAGTCGGAGTCCGAGTCGGAGCTCGAGTCGCTCGACGAGCTGCTCTCGGGCTCGCTCTCAAAGGCCGACGGGTCGGCACGGTACTCCTCGAGCTGCTTGACAATGGCTTCGTTGTGCTTCTTGATCTTGCCCTTCATGCGGATAAGCGCCTTGGAGTTTTCCTTGCTCATCTTCTTGTCCGACTTGTTCTTGAGCGACGTCGTCATCGCATCTTCGAGCTGCGCCATGACGCGGATGTAGTACTTGGGGTACCCGTTGGCCTGGATGGCCTGCTTGGCCTTGGCATTGTCCATGGTCTTGGCCATGACATCGAACTCGCCCTGGATCTTGCTCCAGTCGTTGATCTTGAGGAAGTTGGTGATGAGCGCGCACGCCGTCTGGAGCGCCGCCAGCGCCTTGTCCTTGGCCGAGACGACGACGCGGACGTCCTCATCCGAGTCCGAGTCCGAGTCCACCGCCCAGCGGTTGGCAGCGATCTTCACATCGACTTCGCTCGAGCTCGAGCTCTCGCTACCGCTGTCCGACTCGGAGGACGACCCGCCCCAGAACTTGCTCGCCATGGTCGCTTGGAAATGGGGCAATCAATGGCAACCGGGACAAGCCCAATATTCCCTCTTCTAACTGAACATGCGCAATAAAAATATACTTCTTCACACCTAAAACCCCGTCATTAAAAAACAAAATTCTGCTCCCTCTGTAGACTGAACGGCGCCACCTCCAGTAATTTCACGTGCGCAACCTCTTGGGCGCGATATTCATTGTAAGAGGTTTTCCCGCCGCCGCCTTGCTACACTGCCCAGGACGGGATACCCTTGGACGCGCTCGCCGACGACGGGCACCGCGCACTGCAACCTGCGCAACCGTGTACCTTGGCCTTGTATCTGGCGAGCCATGCCGAGATACGATCGCAGCGAGCGAGCAGTGAGGATCGAGCGCGTCGCGGGCTAAAGAGGCGTGCGTTTAGCCGTCTCCTGTGATTGGCTGGTTTCTTTTGACCATTCGAATGCCCCACAAACCTCGATTTCAAGTTGCGATGTTGGCTCGAGCGGTGGCCGGCTTGCGCCTGACCGCGCGCCCCGTGGTGCGCGTGACCAGCGCAGCCTTCTCGACGAGCGCCAAGGGCGACGACAGCAAGACGCCTGTCGAAGACGACGACGAGACCGACCCGGACACGTGGCTCGGCTTCAACGGCGACCTCGACGCGGCGACGGAGGATGGTACCGCGACGTGGCTCCAGGCCGTCCGCACGGTCATCGACCTCAAGGAAGAAGAGAAGCTCGAGGCGCGCCGCAAGCGCCAGGAAGCGCACGCTGCGCTCCAGATCACGCGCGTTGTCGAGATTGACGAGCTTGGCCGTGCGTATGGCACGGGCCGCCGCAAGACGAGCAATGCGCGTGTGTGGATCAAGCCCGCCGCCGAAGAGGGCAAGGGCACGGTCCGCATCAACAAGATGGACATGGTCGACTACTTTACGCGCGACACGCACCGCCACGAGCTCCTCCTTCCGTTCCTCGAGATCAAGCGCCTCGGTCACTTCGACGTGATGGCCAACGTCCGCGGCGGTGGCCTCAGCGGCCAGGCCGGCGCCGTGCGCCACGGCATCAGTCGCGCGCTGGAGAAGTATAACCCGGACAACCGCGCGCCGCTCAAGAAGGCTGGCTTCATGACGCGTGACCCGAGAATGGTCGAACGCAAGAAGCCCGGTCAGAAGAAGGCGCGCAAGCAATTTCAGTGGGTTAAGAGATAGAGTGTACACAGTAGGCCATATGCAGACGCCGACGGGCTTATTGGCGGCACAGCATCCTTACCGATGCAGTGCTATCGTAATACACACGCCGTCTTCTGTGCTAACCATCAGTCTCGATCCAGGGAACTGCAGAATATGACGCGCATTGCGCTGCATCAAACCGAAAATGCTCTTCGCGATGAGCAAGCCCACCCCACTCGAGCCCCAGCAGCCCGTGTCTCGATTGCAGCGAGCGTCTCTTCTTGCTGCACCACCTCCGATTCGAGCGGCCAACCCCGGAGTTTTTCCGGACAAACAGTGGTTGGTCAGGATGGGGACGTTGGTTTTTGCCTCGGCACCTCCATCTCATTCGTCGATTTTACGGCCGTAGCGAGTAGATCCCGTAGTCGGAGCGAGTAGATCCCGTAGTCGGAGCGAGTAGATCCCGTAGTCGTAGCGAGCAAGAGAACGAACGTGCATTCGGTATCTCCGCCTGGTGAATCCAACCTGTACCAAGCGGTCAAAAGTAATGCCATAGCGACCCCGCGATGCTTCTATAGTTAGATGACGAACAGCGCCCGACTGATTGTTGTCTTGGAAAGGTATCGTACATTCTCATCAGCGACATACTAGTAGCAGATACTAAAACACGTTGGCGAATTCGCCCGGTGGTTCTGCGCCACCATCGCACGGACTCCGGTTAAAACTTATATTCCGCCGAAACCAACTTGCTTTTGTTTGAAATGACGGCGCTCTACGTGCGCTGTCGTTATAGAAAAAGCACACACCATCAACGATAACTTATGAGGTCGATTGTCGACGATAAACCATAAACCAAAAAAACTATCCACTACTTCTGATTATGTTGTGGCCGTCAAGAAGGTCGCGATCTGGTGCAGCTTGGCCTCCACGTCCCGCTGCTTGGTCACTACCTGGTTGTACACTTGTTTGTACGACTCGCTCTTGGCTTGGGACTTGGCGATAGCGCCCTGAAGGCCCGCTACCTCCTTCTCCATGTCTTTTCGACCGTTGACCAAATGCGCCTTCTCCTCTAAGAGCCAATACCACGTGAGTTGGTCGCCTATCACAGGAGGCGTCGTACGGCGCAAGCGAGCGACCTCCGCTTTCGTCTCTGCAAGCGCTGAAATGAGTATTTTGAGCGTCTCTTCGTGGCCACCGACATCAGAGAAGCGGCGCTGCAGCTTGTGTCGCCCGAGCATCGCCTCTTCCTTGAGAAGTGCGACCGATTCGGCGTCCTTCTCAAGCTGCTGGATTTTGGCTTGGCTCGCAGCGTTCTGCGCCTCAAGAGCGCTAACCTTGGCGTAGCGATCCGCGACGACCTGCTTGGCTTGCTCAATCTTGCTCTGCAGCTCCGGAATGTCGGCGCGCGAGTAGCTTATTGCTACGTTGTGCTTGATCATATTGTCGTACTGGACAGTGTCACGACCACCCACCAGTTTGCTAACCGCCGGTGCCTTTTGGTATTTTTAGGAGGTGCGTACTCTCTTGGCTCCTCATGGACTCTCTTGGCTCCTCATGGACTCTGCGACCTCGAGGGATGGTACTAGTTCTCCCGTAGCCATCGTCTAGATAGTAAGTAGAGCGAATATACGGCAGTTTGCGACCAAACGTGCTGAAATTGTCAGTGTCATTGGAGCGCAAATTTCAGCGCTGCCCAGGCTGCCACGTAAGATGAGTATCCTCTCTCTTCACTCTCCCACTCTCTTTTCGGCATCGGACTCGAAAAAGTGGCACCCTTGCCGCGGCATGCCGAAAACAACCATTAGCTTGGGCCAAGTATTGCATACAAATAAGAAGACGTTTGATTCCAATCTTTCATCCGGATACAAAGCAGCCAATCATCTATGCCCCGTTGCTGTATACAAAAAGAAAGCTATTCATGAACAGGGTGGACTGTTTATCCGGCAGGGAGCGAAGGGACAAACCATTTTGTGAGGACGGACGCGATGGACAAGTACCGCAAGGCCAAGCCGACGACCAAGCCCTCTGCGCCCAACGAAGTCCTTGTCGGCGAGCTCGCTCGTGGATACCACGACAAGAAGAAGTACCTCGCGATCGTGAAGAAGCTGCTGCGGAACGGCCCTGTCGTCGTGACCGCCCACGACACGGCCATCGTCAACGCCGTGACTGTGGCCGAGATGGTGAAGTCGACGCTGGCGGGTGTGCACTCGGTGGTCCACATTTCGACTGTCAGCATCGAAGAGATCTACGAGCCTCTGGAAGAAGGTCTCGACGTGGTCAAGGTGCCCCAGCGTGTTTCGGCGATTTCGATTCACCTCAGCACGGATGCAACCAAGATCAACACGGCGGACGCCAGCTACACGCAGCCCTTGTCGCCGCGCCAGATGGCCCGCGAGCCCCAGAAGAATAACACACCATCGCCGTCGAATGGCGCCTCCAAGCACCGCAAGCCCCACCCAGCACGACAGGCCATCGCCACGCCGGACATGGAAGAGACAACTCCGTTGCCCGAGGCCGTCGAAGAGAAGACACCGGCGCCCAAGAAGCGACGCGACAAGAAGCCTCGGGCTTTGGCAGATCCGGTACCCGTGGATGATAGTGCTGTTGACGATGGTGCTGCTCCAGAAGTCGCCTTGAAGAAGGGCAGTCAATCGCGCAAGCCCCGAAAGCAATCGAACGAGCGTAGCTCGGTTGGTGAACATTCGGGCAGCACGGCAAATGGCACACCTGTCGATCGACCGGCACGTCGTGGATCGCGCCGTGGTTCGACCCAGCCTGCCCAACTGGCTGCTGCGAGCAACGACGCCACGGCGGCCGAAGCCGATGCCACGCCGGCCAAGAGCGAGCGGGCGCCGCGGCGGAACATCCGTGTTCCCCGACCCGACACGGCGCCGACCAATGGTGAAGCCAAGCAAGACGGCGAGCGGGACGGTCGACCGTCGACGGGCCGTGGCCGTCGTGGGCGTGGCAAGTCGGATGCCAACAGTACTAGCAAGCAGGAACCCGAACAATAAAACCTCTCGTTTTGGCGTATCTTGGTCAAAGTTGGGTGTTTTCATCCTTGCCATTGATTATCTGACCGTCCATTGCGCAGGATGCTCGAGCATGGCTTCCTGAACCTGTGCAAGCCAAAGGGCATGACGTCGCACGCGTGCGTCGCCAAGCTGCGCTACCTCCTCAAGACCAAGCACATTGGCCACGCAGGAACGCTCGATCCGATGGCCACGGGCGTCCTCCCGATCGCTGTGAACCGCGCGACCAAGTTCATCCAGGTCCTTCGACGGCATCGACCGCATCTTATCCAAGCCCATGGCGCGTAGTTCTTGCACAAGGCCAAGGCCTACGACGGGACGATCCGGTTCGGCGTGACGACCGACTCGGACGACATTACGGGGTGCGTCGCCGCCAGCGCCATGCAACCGAGCTGATCCAGCCACCTCTTGTTGTAGCATCGTTCTCCTCGAGTGCCCTGTGCCCGAGCTGACACACGCCCGCGTCGAGGCTGCACTTCGAGGGTGCGCTTCCGTCCCTACAGCTTCTGCATGCAACATGACGACGCCTAGGTTTGTCGGCAACATCATCCAGCGCCCGCCGGTGGTCAGCGCGATCCGCGTCGACGGCGAGCGGCTTTACCACTTGGCCCGCACCGGCAAAGTACGAGCTCTATCGTATACAGCGCCATTTGCTCATCATGCTCAGGCGACGCTGGAGGACGTGCCCCTGCGGCACGTGACGGTCAATAGCATTCAGCTGCACACATTTACGCCCGGCGACTACCCCGAGGTCCCTCTTCTCCCGCCATGTACACGGCCTCAATGATCGCTGGCACTGCAGGCGACGATCTCGGTCGACTGCAGCGAGGGCACGTACATCCGGTCGATTGCGCGCGAGTGCGGCGAGGTGCTTCTCGTGCAGAACGGCGACATCCCCGCCGGCGCGACGCTCGCCGCGCTCCACCGCACACGCAGCAACGGCCTCACGCACGAGTCGAGCGTGACGCTCGAGCAAGTCGAGCGCGGCGTCCAGGTACGCTGCACACCGAGCGTTCGAGATCGCTAAACAGTTGATAGGATGGAACTTTGGTGTTGACGCCACCGGAAGCCCTCCTTCAGCACCTGCCGCGAATTCACATGTCGCCCGCCGTCGAGCGTGTCTGGCGCAACGGCCAAGCGCTTCTGTGGCCATTGGGCGATGTCATGGACGCGACGCCGTCAACAAGTCCCATGCCGACCGCTGTCTACAGCGACAGCAGTGTGTTTCTCGGCGTCACGACGCTGACGCTGGACGCCAACGCGTCACGTTACTCGATTACGGGGTCGCGTCTACAGCTGCATCCGTAGACATAAAGTCCTCGGCGCGGAAGTTCTGCGCAGCACGAATCTGGCGCAGCCACTCGTCGCGGAGCGCGGTCGACGACACGCGAAACGTTGCCGACCGCGGCGCTTTGGCAATGACGCGCTTGGGTAGAATGTACTTGGACTTGGGCAGCGCGGCTTCCAACAACGCGAGATTCTCCTTTGCTTCTTTGTCCTCGTCGTCCTCGTCGTCTTCGTCATCGCATGCGATGTGTTCCAATGGCGCTTGACCTGGGCCCATGGCTACCTCGGTAGAATCGGCGGTCGTTGGCGGCCGCTCGGGCGAAACGGGTGCGTGCTCCGAGACGACAAAGCCGACGTCCCCATGCGCTGTGACGTCGCAGTGTACGACGACAAACGACACGACCGAGTGCTGAAGCATCTCGACATTCGTCGCCTTGGCCGCCTCCTCGGTCGTGAACCAATTGAGGTAGCCGCATTCGAGCTTGAGGAAGACGCGGCCCCAGCGCTGCAGTCGACTGCGGGGATGGAGCTTCTCGACTTGCGCGAGCAAGATGGGCGCCGATACGAACCTCGCGACACACGTCGACGTCGTTTTGGCTGTGACGCCATGGGCCTTGAAGAGGTTGATCATCTATCGTACGAGGCGCTTGGGATGGGACAGATAAGGCAGGAGGCAGTCACTTGAAGCTGGATGCCCTCGCGCTTGGCGTCGTCCGTCGGATACGCAGCATCGTCCATGATGATCCCTTGCGTCCCGTCGAGATCGACGACACGGCCGTCAATCGAGATGAGCACGCTGCCTACCACGGAAGACGACTCGATGGCGTACAACCATTCGTCATTCTACCTGGCGTGAGCGAGAGGGCGGCGTCGTCGACACGCAGGACCACCATCGAGTTACCAATGCGGTCAAAGAGGAACCCAAACCCACGGTTGATGGTCTCGCGGAGGCAAAAGGCGACACTCTCAAAGACAGGCGGCGCGCGCACGGGGCTGGGCGGCCGAGACGCCGCCAATGCATTACTTGTAGTGGTTATAGCAGTAGGAAGAGTGGCCGGCGGCAGCGCCACAACGGGCTTGGCGATGCGAAGCGGCCACGGCCGTTTGGTCGCATACCGCGCATTGAAGGCCTCGCGGATCGCGCGCAGCTCGGCAGCGTTCATGGAGCTTTCTATCTTTAGCTCAACGGACCACGTCTCGAGCTCCTCCGATGCATCCTCGTCCTCCTGCCTGCCCAAGTGCAACAAACTCGTCGTGCAACGATGGTGCACATGACAAGCAGATGCCATCGCGGAAGCTTCCATGCTTCAAGAATGTGCAAAGTCGCCATCGCTGGCGCGTGTCGACAGGCCGAAACCCAACCGGATCCGGATATGCTGGTGGTATCAATGACGCGCGGTGTCTTGGATTTTGTATACCGCTCGGCCGATCATCTTTCCACCCCGCACGTCGGAATCGCGCGCCGAGTGGCTAATCACACGCCACTCTATTGCGCTGCGTGCTGTGTTTGCTACTCGAAGCCGTAGCGTTGCCACGTAGTTGTCGAAAGAGTATCTCAGCCGTCGCATGGCGCCTTAGACACCGCGCTCGCGTCGCCGCGCAAAGGACGCGGCGCGGATGCGTGGGTCGTGTGTCGCTCCCGTCGTTGGGTGCCTATTTTTATGGCCAAGATGATCGCATGGAACAAGGGACCAGGTCGAGATATCCCCGGCTCGAGACAGCGGCAGATCCCATAACGCCCGCAGAGATGTCAGCGCTCCAGAGGAAGCTACTTGCATTGGTCTGACACGAAGGAGACTGTCCCGAGATGCAGTCCGATCGCGATCCAGAGTGTTCTGTGGTAGCCTTCGGGTTGCGCCAACCAAGCACTCGACGAGGAAGGAGGTATTTGGTAGCCGTGGCTCTGGCTCGTGGCTCTGGAATACATACAATGTAGCTAATCAGGCACACTCGACGAGAGGTCGCAGTCGTGGTTTTGCACCGTGGGGTTGATAGCAATCATGCGAAACCGTTGGGTGCATTTAGCCTGTCCATCGATGCGCACATTCAACCTGCTGCGATACGTCGTGTGAGCAACGCCTGCGCTACACGCTGGCACTCGCCTCGGTCGTTCAGCGACTGGTCTCGCTCGCTCGTTCCATTTCCCTTTCTGCCGCCATGATGCGCTTCTTCGGCTTTCTTCTCGCCGGCGCCGCGACCGTGGCTGGCTTCACGGGCGACGGCACGGGCTACCACCTCTCGGACCCCAAGACGGGCAACTGCAACTTCATGAAGTACCCGGCCGCGGCAACGACCCACTACGTGGCGCTTGCCCCTAAGTTCTTTGACAACACGCGGGGCTGCGGCATGTGCATCCAGGCCAAGTGCAGCGACAGTGCGTGCGCGGGTGCGACGGCCACCGAGACGTTGTACGTCGTCGACCAATGCCCCGGCTGCATGGACGAAGACATTGACATCTCGCCCGAGGTCTTCCGGAAGCTCACGAACGGTATCGAGCCCGGCCGCCTCAAGATGACGTGGTCCTTCGTGCCGTGCCCGATCTCGGACCCGATCTCGATCTGCAAGAAGGCGGGAAGCAACAACCACTGGCTCGCGCTCCAGCCGACCAACACACGGACTGGTGTCGGGTCCGTCTCGATCAACGGGTCCCCCACCAAGATGGTCGCGTCAGCCTTCTACTTTATCGTTGAAAGCGTCCCCGAGATCGACCTCAGCAACGTCCTTGTGTCCCTCTCGCCCGCGGGCGGCGGCAGCGCCGTCTCAGCGACCGTCGATCTGAGTGGTGAAGGCTGCGCGACCACCAGTGTCCAGTTTGGCGGTGGTCCCGCCCCTGGCCCAGCTCCCACCTCTGCGCCGACACCAGCTCCGACGCCTGCCCCGACGCCGGCTCCGACGCCTGCCCCGACACCAGCTCCGACACCCGCCCCAACTCTTGCCCCGACGCCCGCCCCGACTGACGCACCGACGACAACACCGCCTGCATCCACCACGATGTCTGTCAACGCTACGACGGCTCCGACGACGACGACGATCCCGGTGCCGAGCGAGGGAGCCCGGCTTGAGAGCGATGCCACGCCTGTGCCGTCCACGCGCGCCACGACTCCGTCGCCGCCGATTGTCGAGGTGTCCAACCAGAGCTCGGCGGATCCCACTGGCACGTCGCCGCTGATCATCGTGCTCGGTGCTGCGTGCGCCGTGGCTGTCGGCGCCGTCGCAATCGCGATCGTCGTCATCAAGCGCAAGCAGCGCATGGACAAGGAGAACGACTTTGACAGCGACTTCAACCTCGCGGCCATCGTGTCGCACCGCGAGTCGAGCGTCGCTGTCTTGTAACTTCGGTGTACATTGCTTTACGTAGAGATGTCCTGTATTTAATCCGAGCCTGCTGGTACTTTTCCTAAACGTCGAGCAAAAGGTTATATAACATGAGGCACCACGCGGCTCGGGCAGCCTTGACGGAGTCGGCGCGTGGTGCAACGTGGCTCTTTCGGATGAGCGATACATGACTAAGATCTTAGCAGCTCTGGTCGTTGAAGACACGAGGATGGTCGGCGTCGAGGTCGAGGATGGCAAGGACAACGTCCTGCGCGCACGCAGCCAGCGCGTCGGCTGCCACGTCTGGCGAAATGGGAAACTAGAAACCGACATTGCCAAGTGAGCCCATACTCGTAGTATACCGGTACATCCAACCAGCGTCAGTAGGAGATCCAGGCACATTGGGTCGCAGCCGTCGGCGCGCCGAGTCCGCGACGCGTCGCCGGGCAGCATCAAAAGGAAGACGCGCAAATCTACGGTGATCATCAGAACGTCGCTTCAGATATGAGAAGGGTTTGTCCGACATGGCAAGAGGCTTGACTGGGTCGCGACCACGGCTTGGACAAGCCCGACGAGCCATGGGTCCCGCGCCACGAGCAGGTCCTTTAGCCTCTACGAGCAGCGACGATATACATGCAGTAATAGCACTGCACTGTACCCTGAGCTTGGCCTTTTGCAGCGGCAACTCGGCTTGGAGCTGGGAGACGCAGCGCAGCACCTGCGTCGCCTCATCCTGGGTCAAGCCCATCATGCAAGATCTCCTGTTCTCTGATCCGGATATGAGAACCGAATTCGCCTACACAGTAATACCACCGTGCGAGCTGCCATCGCATTCTTCTGTTGCAGCCAAAGCCAAAGGACTTGGCCACGGCAGCGGCCGCGTCCTCCTGCGCTGCCACGAGGGATGGATCATTCGAGAGTATCCGGATACCATCGCAGTATGCGGATGCGTACTTTGACCAACCGAAATCATTGCAATTCGAAGCACTGCCAGCATGCTGCGCCGCGTCCTCTGCTCGACGGCTCTCCGCGCGTCCGCCCGCTTGGCCCCGCGCTGCGTGCGGCCGACGTGCGTCCCGACCATGCTCCACCGCGCGTGCAGCTCCATGACGCCGCCCAGCGACGGGCCCAAGATGAGCAGCATCTTGAGCGCGCCGGGCATGGAGTCGGAAGGCGACAAGTTTGTCATGCTCTACACGTGCACGGGTACGCCTCCTCGTGTTGCGATGCCTTGCACTCATACCTCATTTAGTGTGCGATACGCGCGCGGCCAAGACCATCAGCAAGCAAGCGTACTACAACGGCGTCGTGCTCGTGCGCTGCCCCAAGTGCGAGAACCTCCACTTGATCGCGGATCGCTTGGGGTGGTTCGAAGACGACTCGTACGACGTCGAGGGCGTTCTGAAGGCAAAGGGCAGCCAAGCCAAGATCGTGACGGGCGACGACATCCTCGAGCTCACCGAGGCCGACATCCTCGGGTCGGGCGCCAAGATCCTCGTCGACGATGATGAACCGCCCAGTACGCCATCGTCGTAGGACTAGAGTAGAGTAGTATTGTAAGTTTCAGTCGGAATGCCCCTCGATTAAGGGCGCTTAATCGAGCTCGTTTTATTTTTAAATCGAGGCAGGCGGCGGATAGATCGAGGATGAGCTGCACGGTGCAATAAAAATACTTTTGGGAGCTTGGCCTCGTAAATCGGACTCCTCCTGATAAAACAAGCCAATCAAAAGCGTGTATTCAAAAATTAAAAGCCAAATCATCTTATTTATATTTAGACCAATACGTATAACAGGCTTATTGGGAAATGCAGCATATAAAAATATGTAGTTTTATAGCGAGAGTAAATCGAGGCTTGAGCTTGACCAGTTCGAGCCAGTGAGAGCCATCAAGATGGCATGCATGATGGCGCTCGCGATGGACGCGCCCTGCACTATCGTCGTTCTTACTACCAGTAGCTCCCTCTACATGCGCTGCGCCTTTAAGCTTGTTGTATATGTGGATGAGCGCGTTGTCAAGGATTGAGATAGAGCGAGGCCTCAGCCACGGGTTCAAGAACGGAGGAGTGATCTTGGTCATCATGGTGTTGTTGAATTGGCTCAGTTATGCGTGTCTCCGATGAGCTCTTATCCGCAAAGGCTTCGCAGCTCATGGCGGCGAGGACTGACACGCGCTGTCCACGAGAGAACGGAAAGCTCGACGTAGAGGCGTCCTGTGTCCGGGCCATACATGGCGTCGAAGCGCATCGCGTCTGCTTCGAGGTCTCGTGGATGAATACAAGTTGGGTCGGGCTCGAGTAGAACGGCTCGAACGCAGTTAGTGCATTTGGACCTCGTTAGCGGAACTCTCGCGAGCTCGCTAGGACCTTGCGGGTCAAGTTGGAGGGTATAGGCTGTGTGTGCACCATGGCAAATCGGCTTGTGAGAAACTGAAGCGGCCCAATCCATTTGTATTAAAGTTTGTATGGCGACCGGGTCGGTTTTACGACTCTAGCGCGGAAGTTGCTTATCAGGTTGCTTATGGCGACCTCGTTTTGGACCCAGCTGCAGGGTCCAATACGAGGTCGCTTGAAGCAACTTCCGCGCTAGAGTCGTAAAACCAGGACTTACGATCCTAATTCCACCATGTGTTGCAAGTGATGCATTTTATTAAAAATATTTCGCGGCTCGTTTAAAAAATAAATCGAGGCTGGGCTCCGCTCTAATCCAGGTCCGACCTCGATTTAGCTTAATAAAACGAGGTTTTGGTGCCTCGAATAGCCAAACCGGCTGAAATTCACAATAGTAGTACTAGTAGTGTATTAACGCGACATGGACGCATACACGCCATCGCTAGAAGAGAGCTGTCTGTTAGCGGTATCGACACATTAGCCCTTCATCTCTTCCTCGTCCTTGGTTCGCTTCTCGTACTCCTCCTGTATGTGCTTGAGCCACGGCCGGCGCCCGCTGCCGCGGAAGAGGACGCTTTCGTGCGTGTTGACCTGCACGGACGGGTTGGCGCTGGCGAGCGTGCTCGTCTTGGAGAGGCGCGTCGTGTCCATGTTGCTCGTCTCGATGTGCACCTTGCGCTTCTCGCTCTGCTTCTTGTGGCGCTGCATATGTTCGTTCGCCGTCTCGAGCTTGGTGTACATGCGCTGGCAGAGCGGGCAGCGGAACCACTCCTTGTTGTCCTTGATCTCGCGGATCGGCAACAGCTCATCCGGCACGTCGAGCGGCTTCAGGTCCAGTGTTGTCGGCACGTTCGTCTTCTTGTCCGCGTCGTCGTCGCCGCACGAGTGGAACTGCATGCCACGCTTCGCGTTGAAGATGAGCCCGCACTTGGCGCAGCTGAACGGATGCAGCTTCTTGTCATCGACGGCCTTATGCGCCGGCAGCTGCAGCTGCGCAATGCCGCCTTGCTTCTTGGCCCCAATTTTGACAGCAGCCTGCGCCGTGTACATCTCCTTGCCCGTGGTGAGGTACGCGTCAATGATGCAGCCGGCGACGACGGCCTCGAACTGGTGCACGTGTTCGCGCAGGTCGCGAAACTCGGCAAACATCTTCTTGGCGCGATTGCACACAATTTCGTGCAGGTCGAGGTTGGCGCCCGTGTGGTCGATGAGCCGGCACGCCTTTTGCTTCATCTAAGTACACAGAGAATACTGGATGGTGATCGAGGCGCGACGCTGTCAAACCTGGTCCTTGTACCCGATACGTGTTCGCCGCTCGTCCTTGCCCATTTGACTGAGATTCATCTCGACGAATTCGGCGGCGCGGCGCAAGTTGGCCGACTGCTCGCCGTCCTAGAGACACAATCGCAAGAGACACCGTGAGCTTGTGCGCGGCCAAGAGGGTGCACAGACTTGCGAGATCATCGTGCGCAGGTTGTGGCCCGTCGAGAAGAGCTTGTTGGGAGCGGGGCCGTGGTGCGACTTGTCTTCTTCGCCTTCAAACTTACGGTAGGCACTGCCTTCGTGCACAATGTGGTCCTGGACGACGTTGCCGCAGCCCCGGCCATCGGGACCCGTGCAGATGGTGTCGCCGCGCGCATAGTCTGTGATAAAGTTGTTTTGCTCCGCATTTCCGCATGCGTCGCAGACGAAGCGCGGCGCCGCGTTGAGCTCGGCATCGAGCTCCGAGAATTCGTCGGCGTCGCTCTTGCCCGCTTGCTTCATCTTCTTGATGAGCTGGATGATGTCGCTGACCTTCATGTCGGGCACGAGGAGGTTCGTGATGCGGTCTTCCATTGGCAGCGCCAGCTCCTTCGGGTCCGTCTGCCGCGTGGTCGCCACTACCTTGGGCTGGGCAGCATACGACGGCGCCATCTTCTGCTTCTTCGCCGGCGGCGCCGGCTCGGGCTCGGCGAACGAATTGAGCGACGCGAAGAAGTCGGCCGCGTTTGCGTCCACAAAGTCCATCCGCGGCAAAAATACTCGGCTCGGGGACCTACGAAAAACGCACCCATCGCTTTCCGGATACGATGTCATCCGGTAAACGTATCCGGCAACCTATCCGGCACTTTGCGCTGTCTCTCGATCCGGTTTCCATCCGGAAGAATCTGTAACGCCAGTCCCACCTTTCCCAACCTGGGGACGCCGAACGCTGCGAAATCGCAAATGATCACGTTGACACTTTTGGACGCTCTTGCGCGTCGTCTTCTGCGCCAAGAAGAGAGGGCTCCTGCGGGCGACAGGCTCGAGATAAAGACGTGGGCGCAGATCAGTACTTCCGTGGACATTGAAGGAAGTCGTTGCCAGTGCTAAATTTATCGGCTCACGAGGATGGCCATCCATCTGGATACAAGGCCGGCGCATCATGGCGCCCCGAAGCTCGTGGTCGAAGTTTCATGGCCTGGCGTGGCGCGGTTTGTCCGGTTATGGACGAAATATCCGGATGTTGCGTGATCCTGGCACACGATTGGTGCGATCACAGCCAATCGGAGCCTGGCGACCGATTTGGTGGCCACCACATCGACGGTGGAAGTTTCACAGATCCAACTTGCATTTTTCAATTTGCCAACTCAAAAATGTCCGAAGTGACCCCCGTGACGAACCGCCCGCAGGTTGCGATCTTGGACTTTGGGTCCCAGTACAGCCACTTGATTGCTCGTCGCGTGCGCGGTACGCATCGATCACGTCATCGTCCGATGGCTAAGATCTCATTTTGTAGAACTGCACGTCTTTTGCGAGCTCTACTCGTGCCTCGTGACGGTCGAAGAGCTCCGCAAGCACGAGCTCACGGGTATCATCCTCTCGGGCGGCCCCAACTCGGTCTACGAAGAGGGTGCGCCGCACGTCCGCCCCGAAGTGTGGAAGTTCATTGAGGAGCTCAAGCTCCCCGTGCTCGGCATCTGCTACGGCATGCAGGAACTCGCGTACACGTTCGGCGGCGAAGTCTCGCGCGGTGTCCGCCGCGAGTACGGCAAGGCCATGGTCAAGACGCACAAGGAGGCCGCCAACAACTCGCTCGGCTTCTTGAACGGCCTCACGGAGGAAGACTTCCAGGTGTGGATGTCGCACGGCGACAAGCTCACCAAGACCCCGATCGGCTTTGTTGACGTTGCGTACACGGCCAACTCGGAGCACGCTGCGATCGCCAACATCGAGAAGAAGTACTTTGGCATCCAGTTCCACCCTGAGGTCACGCACTCGCCGCTCGGCAAGAAGCTCCTCAGCAACTTCGTCGTCGACATCTGCAAGTCGCCCACGGACTGGGACATGCGCAACATCGCCGAAGTCTTCATCCAGGAGGTCCGTGAAAAGGTCGGCCCCCACGGCCACGTCATCGGTGCCGTCAGCGGTGGCGTCGACTCGTCTGTCGCGGCTGCCTTGTTGCACCGCGCGATTGGCGACCGCTTCCACGCCGTTCTCATTGACAACGGTCTCCTTCGCCTCGGCGAGGCTGAAGAGGTCGTGGACCGCCTCCAGCGCCACTTGGGCATCAACTTGCACTGCATCAACGCCGAGGACCGCTTCCTCGCCGCGCTCAAGGGCATCGACGAGCCTGAGACGAAGCGCAAGCGCATCGGCAACCTCTTCATCGACCTCTTCCAGGAAGAAGCCGCGCGCATCAACCACCCGGTGGACTACCTCCTCCAGGGCACGCTCTACCCGGATGTGATCGAGTCAATCTCGTACAAGGGCCCGTCAGCGACCATCAAGACGCACCACAACGTCGGCGGTCTTCCGGACACGATGCACCTCAAGCTCATTGAGCCGCTCCGCGAGCTCTTCAAGGACGAAGTCCGCGAGCTCGGTATGGTCCTCGGCATTGAGGAAGAGAGCGTGTGGCGCCACCCGTTCCCGGGTCCGGGCCTCGCCATCCGCGTCCTCGGCGAAGTGACCAAGGAAGGTCTCGATATTGTGCGCCAGGCCGATGCCATCTTCCTCGAAGAGCTCCGCAAGCACGGCCACTACCGCTCGACGGGCCAGGCGTTCTGCGTCCTCCTTCCCGTCAAGTCGGTCGGCGTCATGGGCGATGGCCGCACGTACGAAAAGGTCATTGCGATCCGCGCCGTGAGCACGTCGGACTTTATGACGGCCGACTGGTACCACATGCCCCACGACCTCCTCGCCATCATGTCGAGCCGCATCATCAACGAAGTGCGTGGCGTCAACCGCGTCGTCTACGACATCTCGTCCAAGCCGCCGGCCACGATCGAGTGGGAATAAATCCTCTTACCTTAGACACGATCGTTATCTTCAGCATGATTGATTCTTTGACCTATTGTATCCTATAAACCTCAAAACTCAATTTCCATTCATGCATGCTGCCCATTTATTTCTATTTTTGAGTTTGAGGCCGCACAGCCGAAAGATCTCACAGGATGAAGGGATGGCACCGCTGCCTCGTGTGCCAAAAGGTCTTTGAGCGCGAAGAGACGTGGCTCCAGCACGTCGACCGCCACGAGACGCAGCGCTTGAACCGCGAGAAGCGCTTGCGGAGCGAAGACATCGACCAGCGGCTGGGCCCATTGCTGCCCCGCGCCACCGAGGCTCCCGTTGCCCGCCCGCGTTTTGCGCCGCCGCAAGCGTAATGCATGCATTTGCTCTAGTCGCCGACACTCGCGTAGCATATAATCCATGTATTGATGACGATGCAACAACGGTGGCAGGACAAAGAGACAACAGCTTAGGCGTCGGCGCCGCGCTCCAGCTTGATGCCTTCGAGCATCGTCGAGAGGTTGTCCGTCTTCTTGATCTTGTCCATCAACGTCTTCCACTTGGGGTTCGAGTCGCTTTCGCGGACGCAGCTCACGGCGTCCACCGCACGCAAGGCGCTGCGAATCACGTCGTTCACACGGTCGACCTCCGAGCCCACTTGCGTGTCCTTCGGACGGCGGTTCGTCGTCTTATCGAGGGCCACGCTAAGCATATCAAGCGCGCTCAAGACGACACCGGGCTCCACGTTGCAGAGCTTGATCAGAATCTGGTGGCTCAGCATCTGGACGTCGTCGTGGTCTTCCAAGCCGAGCTTCAAGTACTCGACAAACGCAATCGCGTCCACTTCGCGCGGCAACGTGTCAAGGAGCGTGTCAATGCACGCGTACGCGCCCTTGCGCAGCACAAGCCCGTCGTCAACCTACGTGCATATACCATGTGAGCTACGAGGCGCACATTTGGCAAACGACGACGACGTACCTTGTGCTTGAACGGGCCCAAGTCAACGGTACGCTCGAGCTTGATGCGCATCGTGTCGTACAACACGGGCAAGATCTCGCCGCGCACATGGTCCTTGAGGAAAGCAGGCTGGTGGTGAGCCGCAGCGTTGAGCGTAATGAGTGCCGCGCGACGCACGCCCATGTCTTCGTCCTTGAGCGCCGCGACGAACGGGCTCACCGTAAGTTCGCGAATCGGGGCACCGTTGGGACCGCACGCCATGCAAAAGCGCAAGCACGTGACCGCAGTCCAGCGGGTCTTGACGGGCACCGAAGGTGCGCACATGGCCGTGACCGACGGCAAGATCGTGTGCGGCTCCACGAGCGCAAGTTTGCCGAGGCACTCGGCGACCATGTTGCGGACACCTTCCTCCTCGGTTTCGCAGTGCGAGTGCAGCACGGGCACGACCGTCGAGACAAACGCCTTGAGGTCCGAGCTCTTGCAGCCCAAAACTTCCTTGAGCGCACTCAAGAGAAGGTACGTGTGCTTGCCCTTCTTCAGCTCTTCAAGGATCGTCGGGAGGTAGCTTGTCATGTTGCCGACGCAGATGCTACCAAGCGCAAAGGCCGCAGCGTGCTTGACTTCCTCGCTTTGGCTGGCAAAGTTGGCCAAAATAATCTCGCGCGCGTCGCCAAACGGCTGAATGTTGGTTTTGCGACCAAACTCGCCGACGCAGAAAAGAGCCAAGTGCTTGCTGGCGCCGGGCGTCGCGATACCCTGCACCCACGTGTCGTACGCCTTCTTCTGGAGATCGGGCGACGTCTGGAGACTGATCGCCGCAATGCAGCGGGCAACGTTGTGCAGCGCATGCTTGGACGCATCCGGACGATCCACCGTGTAGAGCGCGTGGAAAAGCGCCTCAAACCCATGGCTTTCGGCAGCGACGAGCTGACGCAAGAGCACAAAGAGAGCTTCCAAGGCGGGACCCTGAAGCAAGGCGCTCGCCGACAAGAGCAGCGCGTTGGGCAACGCCTTGGTCACGACCACCGCGTCCGAGGCGGCCGACGGCGACGTCGTAAGAATGGCCGAGACAAGCGTCAACGAGAGCTGGCTGAGTTGCAAGTCCGAGTCCGAGATCAAGGCCGATGCTTCTTGAATCGTGTCGCTGAGGCTCGCAGCAGCCACAGACGCACCCTTGCTTTGAACCAAGGCGATGAGCGTATCCAACGCCGTCTGCTTGAGCGTGCGCGACTGCTGACGCAAAAGCTGCGAGAGGCAAACAATGGCATCCGTCAAAATGATCGAGAGGTCGAGCGGCAGCGGCGAGCGGGCGATCGTCGACAGCGACTTCATGGCAGCAATGCGTGTGATTTCGTTTTGCATGCGCTCGAGGATCATTGGCAGCACCGCGTTGAGATCGTCACGGCTCAGATGATCACCTATAGAAACGTCAGACATAGGGTCAAACGTCGAGCAGAGGAAGTACCGATCGTAGAGATGATGAGGCCCATGCTTGCGATAGCACCATCCTTGATCTCTTGGTCGATGTCGTACGCCTTGAGGCGCGGAAGCACCGCGTTGAAGAGCGGCTGCACAAAGACCGCCATGTCTTGGACCAACACCGCATCCGTCGACGGACGAATGACGTGTACGATCGTGCCAATGAGGGAGAGCGACTTGGCAACAATCTTATACCACTCGTCACTAGCGTTGACAACGGCCAAATGAACAATCGCCTTCATGTGCTTGGTGAAGAGCGACGGTTCGTGGGTGGCCATAAGCTGGCGCAAGAAGAGGAGTGCGTCGAGCTTGAGGCTCGAGTTGCGGTCCTCGAGGGCCTTCAAAATGTTCGGCATCAACGAGTCCATGAAGGGGCCCAGCTGGCCTTCCTCGACCTGGGCGAGCTCGCGCAGCATACCGAAGACGGCGCATCGCGTGGCGACCGAAATTTTGGGGCCCAGTTGCTTGTTCGCGGCGCTCAAGATCGTACCAACGCGCGTGTGGAGCTGGCCACCGCACGAACGCTGGCGGACAAGCGCAGGGTGGCCACCGGCTTCGGGGTTGCCCGAGCTCACGGGCGCCAAATGCACAAGCGTGACGCGCAGGAGGTCCGAGAAGACCGAGAAGACGTCGATGCGGACGCTTTCTTCACGCTCCTTGAAACGCGAGATAAGTGGCTCGCTGCACTCAGCGTAGATGTCGTCGAGGAGCTCCGGGCGCGTCGTGATGACAGCCGACATGACGCGAAGCGCAGCACGGCGCACCTTCCAGCTCGCATCGTCATCGTCGCTGTAATCGTTGTCTTCGGGTTCACTGTACTGCTCCTCATCGTCCATGTCCTCGTCCATGTCTTCGTTCTCCGAGTCGTACATGTAGTTCGGGTCGTACTTCGTGAACTTCATAGCCGTGGCAATGATGTTCTTGACGTGCGCCGTGATCTCGGCGTGGCAGCGCAGCAAGAACGACTCGAGGCCCTGGAAGCAGTTCTCGCGAAGCTCGTTCGAGACGTCGTTTTGCATCGACTCGTCGTCCGGGGAGCCGCAAAAGGTCAAGAAGAGCGGGACAATCACGGGGAGATGACGGCCAAGACGATGTCCCACCGAGCGCGAGAGCGTACCGATCGTCTGGATGAGCGTGCGCTTGTCCGCTTCGTGGTTGTTTTCGACGCTTTGGAGCAAGTGCTCGACCAAACGGTGCAGAAGTGCGTCGGCCGCGACAACACCGAGCGCACCGAGGCACGACGTCACGCGCTTGCGCACAAAGGCACGCTCGTCGCTGAGCTCCTTGAGAAGAAGGTCCATGATGGCCACATGCTCGGACTGGAAGTCGGCGCCGAAGCGCTTCAAGAGTTCCGTCAAGATGTCCAGCGTCTCCGACTTGATTGCCTGGTCTGCGTAGTGCGAGATACCGTTAAGGAGGCGACCGCAGAGCGCTGTCGAGATCGATGCGCCGGTCTTCTGCGAGACGTCCGTCAAGATAGTCTTGAGGCCGATCGAGTAGATGTCACGGAGCTCGGGCTTGCCCGTGAAGATCAAGTCGCAAAGCTTCTCGCAGATGTCACCGACTTGCTTCTCCTGGACCTTCGTCACGAGGATACCCAAGCTAGAACACGCATGAGTACATGGAATGGCAATACCAAGACGTGTACCATTTCACAGCGATCGACTGCACGTCGTTCGACTTGTCATCGAGTTGCTTGAGCACCGCAGCGCAAATCCTAGGCTTCATGAGCACCGAGGAGCCACGTGGAGATCGCTGCGTACTTGCGCTCGAGGTCCGGGCCAAGCTCGACGTCGTTCTGGAGCTCGTTGCAGAGGTCCGAGGTCGCCATGTAGCGCTCATCCTTGTCGAAGTCCGTCGTCTACCTTGGCGCATGAGCCTCATGTAGGAAGGAAGGGAGGGGCTCCAAGCAGGGTCGTCTCCCCCGCAGGGAGATGGACGAGGAAGCGGACCTTTTCTAAGAGCGCGGTGAAGACGGTCGTGCCACGCATGCTTCGGGGCCGGCGATTTTGGGAAATGGAAACAAGGATCCGAGTTGTGAAATCCTAGTCCTAAACGAGGACTCAAATTGTGGTGGGGACAAGCTTGCCTTTTTCTGAGTGAAGGTCGGCAGTGATGCCTAATTAGGCACAACGCCAATCTGCAAGCCCGCCACAACGTATACTTGCCTTCGCATTCAAATATAGAGGACATTGCCCTATTCGCTTTGGCGCCAACGGCCTTGAGTTGCTGAGCTCGTTCTCACTATCCAAGGGAACAATATGTATCCATGCTACTTGCAGGAAATGACATCGATCTACATCTACGGCCAAGGAGAAGCCAAAGAAGGTCGAGCATTCTCCGTGCTGAACGCGATGGGGTGCATGGTTGGAGGCCCACTCGGATAGTAAACTGAGCTATAAGGCGCTGGAGCAACCTAGCCCTAACCTAGTCTATAAAAGCTCCGGAATGGTTTACTGACTAGAAGCTCGCCTTTGCAGTGTAAAGGACAACTTGGTTTTTACCATCGAGGTAGAAGAAGCGTTCTGCATCGCATTTCCATTTCATTGATCGAAGCAACATGGTTCTCTACAGCGCAACGTACCACCAGGACAAGGAGGCCCGTCGCATTGCGGCGCTTGAAGCCCAACTCCGCATCTCGCACCCGTTCCGCCGCCCCGCCACCACCAAGTCGGCGGCCAAGTCCACGCCCAAGCCAGCTCCACGCTCTACTACTGCCACTGCGGTGCGCTCTGCGCCTCGCACCAGTAACACGCCGATCGCGCGTCCTGCATCGGATTTGGCACGCGACCACAAGATGGAGATCGACCGTTTGCAAGCCGAGCACCAAGCTGCTTTGGCTGCCATGACTGAGAAGCTCCATGCTGCCCACGACCACGTGCTGGAGCTTGCGCACCGCGTCCTTCGGCGCGACGACACGATCGCTGCGCTCCGCGAAAAGCTCGAGCGCCGCGTTGCACGCAAGGAGGCTGAAGTGCAACACCTCAAAATGCATTTGGTTGACGCCAACGCCGTTATTGCCGAAAACAAGACTACGATTTCGGAGCTCAACGGGCAACTCATCAAGACCGAGACGGTCCTCGCCGACACGGTCGCTCAAAAGGACGGCACGATCGGGCAGCTCTCGGAGCAAGTGACGAGCCTGAAGGCCCAAGCAGCAGGAACCTCCAACGACGCGCTGGGCGCTGCCAACGAGCGCGCGATCCAGCTCGCACACCGCGTCCTTCGGCGCGACGATACGATCACTGCGTTGCGGGAGAAGATGGAGCGCCGCCTTGCACGCAAGGAGGCCCAGGTGCAGCACATCAAGATGCACTTGGTCGACGCCGACGCCACCATTGCCAAGAACAAGACGACGATTTCGGAGCTCCAAACATGGGTCAAGAGCCTCGAGACCCAGATTCACGCCGCCATCGCCTCCAACGACTCGCTTCTCGCGACTCTGCAGCAGCCAACTCGAGCTTCTTTGTGGTCGAATGGACCGCCGCACTCGACGGACGACTTGGACTCGCTCGCCTCGTCCGAGATGGAGCCACTTGCAGAGCCATCGTCTTGCGTTTCACCGACTTACCCCATCAACATCGTCCGCCAGCTCGTCAACGCCTCCTCCAACTACAACAACAGCCAGGACGATGCGACTTGCCAGACACATTGGATGTACAGCTACCGGTACTAGGAATAAGAGCTTATAACACGAAAATCAAATACACCAAATGCAAATACGATGCACAGTTAGCCATGCACATGCATTAGAACAATCATTGTCCGTCCCTTCACGCATTCGACTACAACGCCAGCCCACCTCGGATCGTTCGCTTGGACCATCCGACGTCACTGCTAGACATGCGCCACAGTTCTGAAAGCACCGCATACAGGGTAGGCTGGTCGTCCCGTGCAAGGGTGTGTCAACCTCCAGAGCGCCTTGGCAGTGGCCATCGAGTCCACGTGGCTATCAGCCCAAACAGACGATTAGGTTACCCATCGCTTGCTACTGGCAAGCAAAACGGTTCCTGATACGTGGCCACGTGGCTGCGAGGAAGGTCAGAGTGCTACTTTGACGCATATTGTGCGTGGCGCGTGGTGGTCTAGGCGGATGCATGATGATTCTGATGGGCGAATACACGACCGATTGTGATTCTGGCGATGACAGCGCAAATCAGATCCACGTACCAATCTCACATGGGTCGATGCCCAACTCGAACTTCCATGCGGTGAAGGCCTGCCGTTCGTTCGAGCTTTTGGCGCCGTGAATCCAGAACATATGGTTTCCAATGTGCGGTCAGGTCGGCGAGGTGGTACTCGCGCAAAGCGGCTCTTTGTTGTTTTGTCCGAGTTGTGCTGCATGTCGACGGCGGTCATTGCAAGCTCGATGGTTCATTTTCCAATTTGCTGTGCTTTGGCACTCCTCCTTCCTCGATGAAATCCATCTTCTTCACCACGGCGCTTCTTGCCGCGTCGGCGTCTGCCCTCGCAATGACCACCAAGGAACGCACTGAGCTCCTCAAGGAGCTTGATGCGTGGAAGAAGAGCCACGCTGGCAAGGCCGCAAAGCTCGAAGGCCTGTTGCCTCCCAAGCCGCGCCAAGAAAGCGCCCACGACCAGCGCGAAGCCGAGCTCAAGCGTTTTGCCCACACCAAGAAGGTGGTCGCGGAGCTCAACAAGAACCACCACGGGTCTGCGGTTTTCTCGACTGACAATCCGTTTGCGCTCATGACGGACGCTGAGTTCAAAAAGTTCGTCAAGGGCGCGTTCACCAAGCCGCACACCAAGCGCCAGCTCCGCGCCGAGAGCATCCAGCTCGAGCTCACGCCTGCGCAGCGCGAGGCCACAGGAAAAGACTGGACGTCCAGCCAATGTATGCCTGCGATCAAAAATCAAGGTACTTGCGGGTCGTGCTGGTCGTTTGCAGCCGTCGGCGCCGCTGAGATGGCGCACTGCATCGTCACGGGCAAGCTTCTCGACCTCTCGGAGCAGCAGCTCGTGAGCTGCGCGACGAGCGCCGGCCAAGGCTGCAAGGGTGGCTTCCCCAGCAAGGCGCATTGCGCAAACCGGCGTGTGCTCGTCGTCCGACTACCCGTACACGGACAGCGACAGCCAGTGCCAGCAGAGCTGCAAGAAGAACAAACTCAGCGTCGGTGGGCCCGTCGACATTCAAGGTGAGAGCGCTTTGCAGTCGGCGCTCGACAAGCAACCGGTCACGGTCGTCGTTGAGGCCACGAACGATGTGTGGCGCAACTACAAGAGCGGCATCGTGGAGAGCTGCCCTGGTGGCCAGTCGGACCACGCGGTGATTGCTGTGGGGTACGGCAGCAACTTTTTCACGATCCGCAACTCGTGGGGCACCAGCTGGGGCGAGCAAGGGTACATGCGCCTCAAGAAGGGCGCTGGCGGCAACGGCATGTGCAACGTTGCCGAAGCGCCGTCGTATCCGTCGATGAGCGGCGGCCCGCAGCCGGACGACCCGAGCGATGGCCCCACCGACGACCCGAGCGATGGTCCCACCGACGACCCGAGTGATTTCCCCAGTGATGTCCCGAGCGACGACCCGTGGAACGGCGACGACGACAACGGTTGGCGTGCATAAGTGGACTGTGTGACCTCATCCCACACTCAGATGTGCGTTGATGTAAATACATGTATTTACGTCCGTTGCTTGCACCGATACGTCCAAGCTCTTCCCACCTACATGGGTCGTCGGTCGAGAGAACTAGCCATTGCGATTTCTCTTAGCCCTCGTCTTGCTGCTCGATGATGATGCTCGTCTCGTTCGCATCCATCGTGTCCATCGAGCCAAACTTGAATGGCTTTCCAGTCTGGTCTTGGTGCTCGGCTTCGTATTCGCCGACAAACGCATCCTACAAGCGTCGATAGGATACATCGCACCAAACGCACGTACGAGTGTCGAGGCGACGACGAGGTTGAGGAGAATCGTGACGCCGAGGAGGTGGAAGCTCACAAAGTACCAGCGCGCGTACTTGGACGTGACGCACACAAAGCCATCTGCGAGGACGAACCAGTTGTTGACGATGAGGAGCTCAAATAAGAGCACCATGCCGCTCGCCATGTCGTTAAAGTTGTTGGCCATGTACCCGTCCTGCGTGTACATGCTCGTGGGGCACTCGACGCCCATGCGGCCGGGCGAGATGAGGCCGCCAAAGAGCTGCTGGCCGAGCGTCGCAAACAAGTACAAGGCGCAAAACATGATGACGAGGAGGTTCTTGCCGAACGGCAGAAGGCGGAACCACGTCATGCAAAAGACACGGTACCTAGGAATCCATATAGGACCATACGAATGGCACGAAATGGACCATACCGCTCGACGTTGATGATGAGGCGAAAGAGCCGAAGGCAGCGCGCGACAAGGAGGATCTTGACCATGACACGGGACGCGGGGTCGTATGGGAGGTACGCGTAGATATCCACGGCGACGACCGCGACCGTAATGAGGCAGTCGAACCGATTCTTCATCGAGCTCCAGTAGACGGCGCGGCCGTCAACGACGATCTTGAGAAGCATTTCGAGCAGGTACACGAATGAGAAGATCGACTCGATGCGCTCCCAGACGGTAAACTCGGACGCGAGCGGCATTGGCTCGCCGTTGAGCACGGGAAGCGACTCGAAGACTATGAGAAGCGCGTTGACAACGAGGACGATATCGATCGCGAGTTCAAAGCGCGGATGCCGCACAAAGGCGCAGAGCGAGTGGAAGCCGTCGCTGTGAAAGAGGTTGGGGAACCAGCGCTGGACCTCGGAGGGCGGGAGGCGCTTCTTGGAGAGCGCGGAGCGGAGGACGCCGCAGATGTTGGCAAACTCTTGCCACTGCAGCTTCTCGTCGCCATCCGTGTCGAGCTCGTCAAAGACGAGCTGCATCCGGCTCTTCTTGATGTACCCAATGTTCTTGTAGTGGTTCATCTTGTGGAAGAGGCGGAGGCAGACGTCGAGCGGCACGGCGAGCTTGGGGGAGGGCGGGCCAAGGTACCACTCGTCGTGTCGGTGGTCCCAGAGCTCCTTGGTCGAGTACGATCGAAAGAGCGACGGGCGGCGCGTCATTTTGGACGAGACATTGCAGAGAATCCGGAACGCGATCTGGAGCTTTTGCTCGCGCGTGTGGTCGCGCTTCTTTTTGAATGCTTCGAGGTTGACGGAGAAGTTGTTGTAAATGACGGCGAGCACGACGTTCATGAGGAAGAAGAGCCCAAAGCAGAGGAAGAACGCGAAGAAGACCACGACGACGCGGTGCTTGTTGTACGCCGGCATCATAATATCGGGAAAGTTCGCGGTCGTGAGCAGAATGAGCATGTTCCAGCACGCTTCGTAGATGTTGGGCATCTGCGCGTCGCCTACGCCATCGTATCCAGACTCGCATCGACGATGCAATATAAGAAATACCTTCTTCCGTGTTGTCGAAGAGCATGGTGGCCACCCATGCAAAGAAGACGACAAACACGATGACGAGGCTAATGATGTTGTGCACCTCGCCGAGCACTTGGGCGATCTTGCGCGCAGTTCGCCGAATGTTGCGGTTCTTGACGGCAAAGATCATGACGCGCAGGTACACTTGCGCATACGGTGTTAGCACTTGGTGCGGAAACGTCGCGCTCAGGGCGAGCGTCGTCATCGCCAGCAGCACGAGCACCAAGACCGCGACGCTACGCCATGTCGCCTCGATCGATACGATAGAGATGTGAGTCGTCGTACCTGTCCTTGCGGTTCGTAAAGTTTTCTTGGAGGTACAAGTACCGAATGCCCGAGTTGAGGAGGAAGAACGCGAGGCAGAGGAGCTCAATGCAGTGGCTCTCGGCGTGGGTGAGGAGCGCGATCTCAAACGTCATGGGCGTAAACGGGTCGGACGGGTCGCCGCACGGGTACGGCGGAGGCCCGTGGCACCAGCGCGGCGTCTCGATGAACGAGAGACTCAGAAGCACGACGATCGCCGCGCCGCGGAGGTAGTGCAGTTCAGCGTGCAGCGTGTGCATGTAGCGCGCGAACGGCGTGCGCACCGGATGCGGGCGCGAGATGCCGCTGAAGGCGTCTTCAATGAACCAGCAGGCAGTCGTGAGGAGCTCGTCGTCCTTGTCGCGCGCGACGAGCGGCGCCGACTCGGTCGCCTCGGGCAGCTGCATGCGCCTATCTATAGGACTCGTATTGCGCTATGCCACTCTGCTTACCGGTGTATCCGATTCGGCCGGATACGCGAAAAAAGTTATCCGACGCACCTGGGTCCACACCGCGCCTGCGACGCTCGCCGAAAGCGACAAGCAGCAGTGGCCAGCGCAGTTGCCGCCGGCAAAGATGCTCCTCGCGCTGGTCCGAGACGATGGCCTGTCGTCCTGCGCCGTGTCTCTGAGCCTGAGCCATAGCGCTTGCATACAAGGTCACGATAAGAACTCAGAGTGCTGACCCACAGGGCTACCTCAGAGTGGCATGCCGACGAAGAAACCACCCACGCCCACGGACGGACACTACTTGTTGACGCTTCTCATGTATAGCAGCACTGAGAGCAGGAAGACTACGATCTCTGTTGTCGGCTTCCAGGCCCCTAGCGCTCTACGAATCTCTCTACGGTACGCCGGTGGCATCCAGATTCTCCTTCTTCGTTCGTGTCGCGCGGAGCCTTCGTCGCAGGAGGTGGAGCGGACGGCTGAATCAAGCGTGCGCCGGCCACAATCGCGTCCGCGCCATGCTCGTTCTTGTACTCGTCCATAAAGGAATCCTACGACGCGCAACGGTGACGCCTGCCATGTCACGAGGTCCTGCGTCGTCATACCAGGATGGACGCAACGACGAGGTTGAGAAGGAGCGTGACGCCCGTGACGTAGTACGCAATGAAGTACCAGCGCGCGTACTTGGACGAGACGGCGGCGTGGCCATCCGCGAGGACGAACCAGTTGTTGACGAGGAGGAGCTCGAAGAGAAGGACGATCGCGCTCGGCATGTCGTTAAAGTTGTTGGCCATGTAGTCGGCCTGCGTGTACGCGGACTCGGGGAACTCACGCCGCATGCGGCCGGGCGAGATGCGCCCGCCAAAGAGCTGGTTGCCCAAGAGCGCGTAGACATACATGGCACAGAACGTGAGGAGGAGCAAGTGCTGGCCAAAGTGCAGCAGTCGCAGCCACGTGGTGCAAATGACCCGGTACCTAAACCATGATTCGACTCACCCTTTGCCGATGCAGGAACACTACCCTTTGATGTTGATGATGAGGCGAAAGAGCCGCAAGCAGCGCGCAATGAGGAGGATCTTGACGACCTGGAGCGACGTGCCCGGAAGGTACGCGTACGCGTCGGCGGCGACGACCGCGAGCGTGATGACGCAATCGAACCGGTTCTTGATCGAGGTCCAGTAGCCGCGCAGGCCGTAGACGAGCATCTTGGCCAGCATTTCGACGAGGTAAATGCACGTAAAGCCAAGTTCGAGCGCGTCCCAGATCGTCCAGACGCTCGTGTCGATCTCGGTCTCGGCGTCGTTGAGGATCGAGAACGACTCGACAAACACGACAATGGCATTCGCGACCAAGACGACGTCAATGACCACCTCGAGCGTCGGGTGGCGCACGGCGGCGCTCAACGACTGGAACGTCCGCGAGGCAAAGAGGCGCGGGCAGTAGGCCTCGACCTCGGACTGCGGGTGCGGCTCCTTGATCAAGACGCGCTCGACGGCTTCGCACACGTGTACAAACTCGTCGATATCCAAGACGTGGTCGCCGTTGGCGTCCAGTGCATCAAAGAGCGCGGCCATTTCGTCGCGTTCGAGGTGCGAGATGGTGCGAAACCGGTGCAGGCCTTGGAAGAGCCGGAGACACACATCCATAGGCACGGTGGCTCCATGCGGTTTGACGCCGCCACTGAGCGCGCCAAGGCACTCGAACGCCTCCGTGAGCTTTTGAGTGCGAATGCGCTCCGAGAGCGCGAGCTCGGCGTCCGAGAAGCGCGCAAAGTTGTTGAAGACGACGGCGAGCACGACGTTGAGGAGGAAGAAGAGCCCAAAGCAGAGGAAGAAGACGAAGAAGAGCACGACGCTGCGGTTCGTATTGTACGCCGGCATCATAATATCGGGAAAATTCGCAGTCGTGAGCAGAATCATAAAGTGCCAGCACGCTTCGTAGATATTGGGCATCTGCGCGACGCCTTCCGGCGTGCCTTGGAAGAGCACGACCGCCATCCACGCGAAGAAGAGGATGAAGACGAGCACGAGGCTCAAAATGTTGCGCACTTCGGCCACGACCAGGAGGATCTTGCGCAGCGCACGCCGGAGCGCATGCTGCGTAAACACAAACATGACAATGCGCGCGTACTCGTGCAGGCGCAGCGAGGCGAGAGGCGCGTACGCGGGCAACGCCAGCGCGCTTACGACGTCGACGAGCGAGACAACGACGAGCGCTAACTGCACCTTCCTACAACGCAGAGCGTATAGCCTCGTAGATGTAACGATCGCGTTACCGCTCGTGGCGGCCGAGGAAGGCGCCGCCGAGGTAGAGGTACGCAAAGAGCACATCGGCGAGCAAGAAGAGGAGGCACGTGAGCGCCACGGTGCGCGACTGCGCGAGCGTGAGGAACCCGGCGTTGAACGTCATGGGCGTCTCGGGGCTGCTCGGGTCGCCGCAGGGATAGAGCGATCTTGGGTCATGGTCGCACCAATGCGGGACCTCGACAAAGGCGAGTGCAATCAGAACGTAGATGACTGCGTCACTAAGAAAGGCCCATTGCGCGTGCAGTTCGTAGAGCTGGTACGCGAGATGCGTCTTGAGCGGTCGCGGTCGCGTGTAGCCCAAGAGCGCATCCTCAACGAGCCACGCCGCCGAGAAGAGGACGTCCTCGTCGCTGTCGACACGTTGCGGCAAGAGCGGCGCCGTCTCGTCCATCGAAAAAAAGATTTGGTCGAACGTTTCGAATTCGAAATATCTTGCACAAACACACAGCGACGTGCCACGTCATCGACTGCAACTACGTATCGGGTCTCTTTGTCTTGGCGCGGGGCGGTGTCGGCGAGTCCATGCTCACGTCCAAAATCGTCCGCTTGCCTGCTCGCCGCGACTTGGGCGCCTTGCCATTGGCAGGGGCGGTCATGGGAGGCGCGTAGTTCGGTGCTTGCAGTGCAGGTCGCTTCCGCTCTGGCTGCGGCGCCGCAACAGGCATGGGTTGGCCTTGTAGGAGATGCGCTGGCATGCCATGAGAGCGCCGGGCTGTTGCCACCATCGCAGGCGGTGGCTGGCGGGCAAATCGGACAGCACGGGGCTCGGGGGCTGCCGCGGCCACAAACAGGGGCACAGAAGGCGGGGCATAATGCTGCGCAGCTGCACCAGGCGCAAGCTGGGCTATGCGTTCTCCATCCCAAACAGCGCGCCTGGCTGACGGCACTGCAGACGATGGCTGGTGGGTAATTCGGGCAGCTCGTGGCTGCGGAGCCGCAAAATGGACTCTGGGCGGGACTGCCGCTGGTGCTGACCCCCGGAGCTTTGGTCGCGCATACAATGGCGACGAGTAATCTACAAGCTCGTGAAGGCATCCTGCACAGACCATGCAAGCGGCGTACCTATCGCAGGACCGGCCGCTCCAAGGTCGGGACGCGGAGCGTCGAGATGACCGACAACAGGCGGCAGCTTGATTCTCTTGTGTGCTTTGGACATACTCTTCTTTTTTGTCGCGGGCGCCGAAGCTGCGTGGGAGCGAAGCGCCATGGGCGCAGGCGCGAGCACGTCATGGCGACGACTCAGGAGCGGCGCCTTGCCTTTGGCTTTCGTATTTGGCATAACGGGCACCGGCGCGGCGTTCGGAAAGGCGTGCGGCACCTCGGGCAAGTTGTGGCGCCAGTCGTTGGGAATGCCGTGGGCTTGTGCCACGCGCGCGACGTGGGCGAGGTCGTGCCGCGGCAGCTGCGCCACTTGACGCTGAACGCGCGCGTCGCGCTCGATCACGCTTCGCACGACCTGCCGTTCCGCTGCGGCAGCGCGTTCGGCGGCCTCGGCGGCAACACGGGCGCGAAGCATTTGTTCGACCTCCAAGAGACGTTGCGCCATTCGCTCGCGCTCGCGGGCGACGGCAGCGCGGTCGATCGGTGCGGCCGGTGCGGCCGGCGCGGCCGGCGGAAACAACCCGCAGCTGCAGCCAGACTACGCACGATGCGATCGTTATGACCGTGAACACGGATCAAAGGCGAGAGCAAGGACGGACCTTTCCGTGGGGGTTCTCCCGGGTCGGGATCCGGTTCGCATAGGGTACCCCGCACGCATAGCAAAAGTGTTCGCCGCTAATCAAGAGGAGACAAGTGAGGTCAACGATGAGGAGACGCGCAGGTACCATTTGCAACGCATAAAGTTGCAGCCCATCGAGCGCTCGACGAGCATGCTGCACTTGGGACACTGCTTCCAGCTCATCTTTTCTTTGAGCGCCATGAGCTGGGCTTGCTCTTGGTCGCCGCCGGCGTCCACCATGCGCTTGTACGCGTCGCACGTGAGCCCGTCGTGCCAGCCCACTTGACACCGGATGCAAATCTTGGTCTTGCAGATCGGGCACGACGTCTGCTCCTGCCCCGCTCGGATCGCCGGCTTGAGGAACATCTGGCTACACTCTTTATTGGGACAGTAGATGCTCTCGTCTTCCGTGGCCTTGACCGTCACGAGCTGGCTAAACTGCTCAAAGAGCTCGGGCGAGATGACGGCCGCGACGTGACTCGGGCGGATCTCTCGCTTGCAGTCCGTGTTGCAGCACGTGATGGGAGCCGCGCGGTCCTTGACCTTGCTCTCGATCCAGCCCGAGAGGCAGCCAATACAGTACTGGTGGCTGCAGCGGAGTCGCCAGCAGTCCTCGTCCGCGACCGGGACCTTCTTGCGGCGCTTCGTCACGCGTATGTTGATGGGCGCTCCGAGCGTGTCCATGCAGATGGGGCACGTCGCCCCGCTCTCGGGCGCGGCCGGCGGGTCCACGATCTCGACCCCGTCCGCCATGCGTCGGGCAGCTCAACAAAAGAAACTTGATTGAATAAAAAACGCACCTTACGTGAGAATGCAAGTTTTTACTTGAACATTGTATGCAATTTAATACCGGAAGCGCAATCCAGGACCGAGTTGACACAGAGATTGGCCCGTTGGCGTCCGATTCGCGCGCCAGCAATTCGCTAATTCGTGCGCAAATTCTTACTGCGCATCGCCGCGTCGCACGTGCAGCAAACTACAAGCTACGACTAACTAAACGAATGCGCAGTAAAGATCCACTTCGACACCCAACTGGACGAAGCGTTAAACTAACTATCGGACCGCAGGGTCGCATCGACGTCTTATTAATTGGCGTCGTCGTCGCCATCGTCTACATACTCCTCGTCGTTCTCATCGTCATCGTCATCGTCGTCATCCTCGCCATCGTCCACGCCATCGGCGTCGGTCGTTGTGTCTTCCTTGGCAGCACCACTCGCCCAGAGCTGACGGCCCGTGAGCCGCTTCTCGGTCGACACACCGACCTTGCCCGTGACCTTGATCATCATTTCCGCGTCAAACTTGGCCTTCCACGCGTTGAAGGACTCGACCGTCACCGGTGTGCCTTCGTTCGACTTGGCCGTCGTGTGCGCATTCTCTTCGTCCTAAGCGAGTGTCCCATGAGCGGATGCTATCGGAGGTCATGTGTGTACAAGAATGGCTTGGGCTGCGGCGGCCGCCGTGTCTTCCTTCTTTTGCTTGCTTTCCATGCGACGCAGCATCTCTTGGTACTCGGAGCCGTCCTGCAGACGGATTCAGGCAGGTAGCCTCGGCGATGACGCGCTACGTACGTTGCCTTCGCGGTTGTTTTCGACCAAGTACTCTCGAACAGCTTCGGTGATGGTGTAGATCATGGCCATGCCCAAGTTTTCCTCAATCTGAATACGAAAACGTGAGTATTGCGACGAGGAATCTATGGAGGTTCACCTGTGCCTCCAAGAGAACCCGGATCTCCTTTTCTTGGCGATCGCTGAGGCCCTTCTCGAGAAGAATGTCAATCTACACAGAGCGTGAGATGCCCACTCGCTCAGCTCGCGACCGCCGACCTTGGGCGAGGCTTCGGGATACGTCTCTGGGAGCGTGCACTTCAGGCTCAGCGCCACTAACATATCGCGCATGAGCTAAATAGAAAGCAAGCGACAGCGGCTACCGTGGTTGTTTTCGCCGTCTTGGTTGGGCACGACGTGCACCGTGACGGTCAATGGCGAGTCGTGGATCTCTAGGACATGCGTCGTCAATGGCCGCGGTCTCGCCCATGCAACGTACTAGCAAAGTCATCCATATAGATCGACTCGAGGGCCTCGACCTCCATCATCTGCTCCTCGGCATAGTCTACGCAACCATGAGCCACTGCGGCGCGGCCGCGCGGACGGACCTGCCATCTTTCGCTCTTGCACCCAATGAAATTGTGGCTGCCTCCCTGCATCCGGATATATCCGGATACGCGACACCTGTTGCTTTCCTGTGTTTAATACACTTTGCATAAAAAACACAACAACAGCATAAAAAATACGCCGATCATGAAGAACGTCGTCGTCGTCGGTGGCGGGATCGCCGGCCTCAGCGCTGTCCACACGCTGCGCAAACTGCTGCCGTCGGCCGTCCAGATCCACCTCGTTGAAGCGGCGAACCGCCTCGGCGGGCTCGTGGGCACGACCCGCGACGACAAGTACCTCTTCGAGGTCGGGCCGCGTGGCTTCCGCCCGTCCAAGAACGGCGCCGAGATCGTTAGCCTCGTTGAGCAGCTCTCGCTTCAAGACGAGTGCATCGAATCCATGGGCCACAACCGCTTTGTCTTTACGAATGGCCGCGTCGAGGTATGTGCATTGTGTTGTCCTCATCCCATCCTCACGGCCATGTAGCAAGTGCCTGGGACACCGCTCGAGTTTCTTCAGTGGTCGCTCGCACCCGACATCATCAAGGCCGTGCTGAACGAAGTCACAACCCCCAAATCGAATGTACGTCCTCGCCTCCTCCATACCTATCCATCGTCTCGACCACAGGCCAGCGACGAGTCGATCTACGACTTTGTTGCGCGTCGCTTCTCGCCGCGGATTGCCGAAGCGCTTTTAGACCCAATGGCCTCTGGTATTTTCGCAGGAAACATCAAACACCTCTCGGTGCGGTCGTGCTTTGGCCTGCTCTACGAAAAAGAGCAGATGCACGGCTCCGTCGTGCGCTCGATGCTCTTCCACTCGACGCCGCCAGCGCTCACGATGGCCGACGGCAGCCTCAAGACGCCGTTTGTCCAAGCCAAGGGCAAGGCCATGAGTCTCAGCTTCCGCAACGGCATGCAAACGCTCATCGACGCGCTCTCGACGCACATTGCTGTACGATCACGCTGCTACCGTCCTACTGATGCCAATGTATACCTGTAGAGCATGCCAAACACGCGCGTGCAGCTCAACACGTCGCTCCAGAGCATCGACACTGCGTCGCCAGAGAAGGTCCGCGTGGCGTTAGCAACCAAGGACGGCACGTCGTCTGAGATTCTCGCCGACCACGTCTTCTCGGCGATTCCGGCGCGCCATTTGATGCCGGCGCTTGCGGCGTCTGCACCGACGGCGGCGCGCGCAATGGGCGAGATCCCGTTCGCATCGGTGGCGATCGTTACGCTCGGGTACCGCGCCAACGTGCTGCCGCACCGCGGGTTTGGCCATCTCGTGCCGAGCTGCGAGAAGCAGAACATCATCGGCGTCATCTACGACTCGTGCTCGTTTCCGCAACAGCAAGACGACGAGCATCTCACGCGCCTCAGCGTCTTTGTCGGCGGCGAGAACCACAAGGAGCTCATGGCCACACTGAGCTTGGCCGAGATGGAGGACGTCGCGCGCACGTCGGTCGAAGCGCACTTGGGCATCACCGAGTCGCCCGAGTATATCGCGAGTACGTGGTACCAAGACGCGATTCCGCAGTACCCCGTCGGGTTCCATGCGCTCGTTGGGCGTATCGAGACCGACCTGTCGGTAAATGTGCCCCGTCTCACGCTTCTCGGCAACAGCTTTTACGGTGTCGGCCTCGCGGACGCGGTGCATCGGTCGACGGTGGCCACGACAGCGTTCGCAAAGACGCACTTTGCATTAGAGTAATACCTACAAGGTGCGCCCATCGCCTTCGATGGCGCTTGTTTGTTGTTGCTGCTGCGTTCGCTGCTCGTTGGCGATCTCGACCATACTGGCTTGCGCAGCGTGGAGTGCTTCGTGGACTGCGGTCGCGTACTTTTGCTCTTCCTGCAGCACCTGCTCCTGGACGCGCTGCCGCTGGACCTCAGGAAACAAAAACGACGCAAGGAGGTCCCGGACGACGACCGCGTCTGCGTTCTGCGCGGCCTCGAGCGTGCTCACGATGGAGGCGAGTGCACCCGAGGCGACGCTCGACTCGTGCGTCGCCGTGTCATTTGCATCTAGTCATTTTCCGTGAGCCCGCGCCAGAGACGCACGTATGATCAAACCATCGGCGACCACGGACTCGAGAATGTCGAGGATGAAGTTGTCGGCCGTCTCTTCGTGCACGCGCGTAATCGCTCGATAGACGGCGTCTTCGCGGGCGCGGAGGTGGTCTTCGGCGTGGCGCTTGCCGCCCTCGATGACCTCGCGCTTCCGCCGCTCCTCCTCGGCCTCGCGCACGAATTCGTTGAGCGTTGCTTGCTCCTTGACGCGCACGAGCTCCTTGGAGAGGAAATCGAGAAGCTCCGAGACGACTTCGCCTTGGGTCTTGTCGGTCGCGGCTTTGGTGAGGCGCACGAGGTGGCTGTCAGCTTCGTTTGCCTCGAGCTCGTCGCCGCCATGAGCATCTTCAGTCGACCGCAGCTCCGCGATGAGCTCTGCCCGGCGGTCCTTGCCTTCGTACATGGTGTTTTGAACGGCGCGGCCGCGGAGGAGCTTTTGGAGGAGCCGCACCGCGTCGTGCAGCTCGTCGTCGTCGTCCTGCGTCGCGTAGATGGGGGTCGGCGGACGGACGATTTTTTCCTGGCGAAACTTGTGCGCTGTCGCCGCGTCGGGCCCGTGGCCCTGCTTGCTGAGGTTGATTTTGGTCTGCATCGAGAGCAAGTGCGCCTCGATCGCGGCTTCGCGGCGGTCTTTCGCCGTCTTGATCACTTTGGGTGGTGGCTTGGTCGTCTGCTTTGTCAAGCGGTGGGCGACCGACGCCTCGAGCGCGTCAATGTCGGCGATCGCATGCACCGTCGCGAGGCCGACTTCGAGAATGGGCTGGCGCCCGCCCTTGCCACTGCGCGCCATCGGGGCGTACACGGTCGACGAGAACGCAGCGTACTCGCCAATGATGTCGCGCTTCAGATCGCGCTTGGGCAGGATCTTTTGCGCGGCGGCGCGGCGTTTGGAGAGCTTGCGCAGTGCGGTCACGCGCTCCTGTTGCATGCCCTCGAGGGCTGCGTCCTTCTCTTGCGTGAGTCGCTGCCGGAGTGCCTCGATGCGCTGCTCGGTGAGGAACTCGTGCTCGTGGTCCCGCTCGATAAGCGCCTTCTCGAGCAGCTGGAGGCGCTGGTCGTGGACGCGGTCGATCTCGACCTCGCGGAACGCCCACTCGGCCTTTTCTTGCTGCTCCATCATCTTTTTCCGAAGGTAGAAGGACGCTTCGTCCGTCATGGGCGGCAACGACGCCTCGAACGCACGCTTCTTGCGGTTGCGCTCAATGAGCTCGATCTCGGCCATGCCAGCGGGCAGGCCGTTTGCAAACGTGAGGTTGGCCAGCGTCGCAATCTCGGGCGATGTCCCGACCTTGATCGTATAGTCGGGCGTGTACGGATTCGTCTGCGCCTCCGAATCGCGGTACATGGTCTGGACACCGACTGACCGCGTTGGCTCCAAGTCGTCGTCCGTGGCGTGGTCCAGCACTGCAGTCTTGGCCACGGGCGAGAGGAGACTAGTCTCGATCCTAAGCTGCGTGACGATGTAGGCAGCCGACGTACATTTCTGGTGGCACGGTCTGGACATACGGCAAGATGGGTCGCTTGAAGTACTTGGCGCGCTGGGCGCCGCTCACGGCAGCCTGGCCATCACTGGTTGTCGACGGTACGCCACTGCGGCGGCTGTGGTGGTGTGGCCGGTACCCGCCTCTCCACTGCCCGCCCGTGTTGGAGACTGTGTAGACCGGGTCTACTCACAGCTTCATTCTCGAGCGTCCATAGGGACAAGCGAGGGTCAGTACCATACACGGCGTCGAGCGCCCGCGTCGGAATCGTCCGCGACATCGGCGCGACTCGTGGCAAAGTCCCGAAACGCCACGGCACGGTCGTAACCGGTTTCCAAATGCTCCAACCGGATTGCACCCTGAGGAGCTTTGGCACTGTTGGGTGAGCCCTACGAAGCGAGCGACGCATGTTGCGAAGAGCCCACCACAACACTGTGTACAGTGCGTCCTCTCTCCTCCCAATCTGTTGTGAACATACGTGCAAGGTGTCTGTCAGTTGAACTCCATGACGTGGCACGTTCTCTCGTTCTTAACGTGCATGATACATCGATTTATCGATTTGTGACAGGTCGCCCATCACCGGCAATCGTAGTCCAGCCTTTTGCTCGTTCTCAAGTCGCCGTCGAGGAGCCTGCCCGCGTGGACACTGCTCCTGCTCGAGCTGCTTGGACGCCGTACCACGATCACGATGTATGTATGAACCCAAGACGCTCGCGACCAGGGGCATCACCAACTTGAAGTGTACTCCAGTCCAGCGCCGAACGCCTCGAATGGGGCCACGTTCTCATGTCCGTCAGCTGCGACCTGGTGTGTTGTATTGTCAAGGGGCAGGGACCATACTGTTCCAGGCTGCAAATACAAAGCAGAGGACGACGAATGTCGCTGTTGTGCTACACGAGGGAGCCATGCCTAGTGCCGTATGGACGTGACCTTCTGCACGTACATGGACGCGATAACGTTGACCGGATCACTGCTGCACGTCGACGCGACGAACGGCCCCATCATAGCGCCGACCATGGCGACATAGACTAGAGCCGATACCCGGTGCGCTGCAACGTGGTCCGGCGTCGCGAAGACCAGGGTTGGATGCAAGACGCAGCACGACGTGTTAAGCTGCCACGTCGAAAATGGTCGCGTTATCATGCACGCTTTGACTCTATTATGTGCAACATTGACAGCACGACCGCCACTACGTACGAGGGTTTGCCGGACAAAATTTGTCCATGTTGCTGTGCAGAGAGGTGTGTACGATTTCCCAAGTCGCTCACGGCGATATCAGCTTCGAATCATCATGGAGCGTTTGTGCAGAAGCCAGCGAGGGATACAATTCGCAGGCAAAACGCAAAGCCATTATTACCTCAACTCTTAATAATGTCTAGCACTTGTTGGTTGGCGCAGTCAAAAGTCTCAATCAAGCAGTGCATCTTGGGCTGGGGGCGGGACAATGTCTTGATCATTGCTCAGGCTTTGGCGAGGCGCTGAGGCGCTGCGACCATGACGGTTCGACGGGCTTGCCTAAACAAACGACGATGAGACGACAGCCAATGAGACGGAAGGCGAACCTCCACCGCCATCGCACTCTCCACAAGTGTGTCGACGCGAGCCAATGCCGGTGGCGAGGAGGGCTCGATCAAGGACGCCTAGAAACATGCCGTCGAGAGGCGACTACAATTAAAACAAAAGGCCTGCCGTTGATGACGCGGCGGTATGTTGAGCGTCACATGGTCCCAGCAGTGCGGCCAGACAGGACCATGGATTCTTCTTGCGCTTGGTGTTGGAAAACCTAACGTACAAGGTCAGCTGTGATTGACGATGAAGAGACTCGTACACCAAGGCCGCGGCGTTGTTGCTGAGGTTCGCAAACGCCTGGAGGTATGGGAACGCTTCAAGCCGCTCATCAAGACGCAAGCCGTTCAAATAGGTTGTAAGCTTCGTCGCGGACGTGTCCTGGGCAGGCGTCATGGCACCGAGGGGCGTGAACGTCCAGAGGTTGTCGGCGTCAATGTGCATCATTTGAATGACCGTCTTGATGTCCCGCATCTTGCGCGAGGCCGCTATCTTCGACCCGAAGGCTCCGCGCAGCCAACGGAGGATATTGCGCTTGTCGTCGAGGGTGAGGCCCTTGGCTGTCGATCGCGATGCAAACGGAACGAGCGGCTTACACAAAGCATGAGACGGTATCGTCAAGCATCGCGCCTCGGGCGTCGCGGCCCGGATGCTACGGGCTTGGCGTTTCAGGATCTCCTTCAGTCTCTCCTTGTTCTACGCAGCAGACATGAGCACACACTGGAGCAATAGAATGTACCGCAATCGACGCCTTGATCGCCGCAACGTGCGCAATCTTGTGCTCTTCTGTGTGCTCCTTCTCTTGTCGCTGAGGCCGCAGCGGCCCCGGCACCGGCGCAGGTCCATTGCTGCGCAAAATGCGGTCAGTCGGGGCCGGCGGTATGCAGCGAAACTGGCGCTTCTTGCGGGTGCTTGGCGCAGGCCCGCGCAAGCTCTGCGGCTCGCCTGGCGCGCTTCGGCCCTACATGAACGTCGTACGGGACGGTGCACGCATGGATCATCGCGACGGCGGCCCACCTGGTGTTCGGAGGCGCCGGGACGCTGCTGCTCGGCCACAGCCTAGACATCATGAGCCGTGGTCACGCCAGAGAAGCGCACGTACCTGCTCGTCGTCCGAGTCGTCCGAGATCTCGATGCAGTCGGGCGTGGCGACGAACGGCTGGACTTCCGAGTAGTTTGCATCGGGATGGACCATCGCGTCGCGGCGGGTCGAACCAAAGTCGCGCCGTGAAATCTCGGGCGACGCAGCACCGTCTGGTCGTCTCAAAGCCTGAGACTCGGGCTCTTTGGTCTCTTCGGTCGGCGACCACCCGCCAAGCTCAAAGTCGTCGTGTTGACCATCGCCAAACTCAAAGCCGCTTGGTTGGTCGCCGCTAAACTCAAAGCCGCCTTGCAGCGCTTCGCTGCTACGAAACAAGTCGATTGCTTCGTTTGCGCCCCAAAGAAGTAGGAGGCAGGACCCACCTCGTGTGTCGCGGCTTCTTGGGAGCGGGGTCGTCGATGGCGGGCGACTTTGGGCGCTTGTCGCGGCCATGTTGGACGGTGCTCGCGCTCTCGAGGTTGGTCTCGGTCGCCGTCGCGTCGGTTCTTTCGTAAAAGAACAAGGTGCCTTGAAGCGTCTTGACCGTGGCCGTCGTCACGCTTTGGACCGGGTGGTCGTCGTCCATCTTGTACCACGTGTGGTCCTTCGAGCCCGGCGCGTTGTGGCGCGAGCGCACGTAGGCGACGTAATGTCCGCACTCTTTGCTAATGCCCTCGTGCACGACCACGGCCACGAGCTCGTACGTCGCCGCCTGGAGCTTGATCGAGAGCTCGATCGCCGGGTTTTCGATGACGATCTTGGCCTCGACCAAGCCACTTGGATCGTAGCACGGCATGTTGACGACGACGACGGGCGGCGCTCGGTCCAAACGAGTGTGCGACTCGTGGTTGTGAAGCGGGCCACACTCGTCGCAGTTCCGTTGCACCGTCTCTTCTTGCCCAAGCGCCGGGCGGGCGATGTTGAGCGCCTTGACGACCGAGTTGCACGGCTTGACGGTGATGTAGTGGATGGGTGTACGCCCCGTGCTGCTCTGCCGGCAGTCGCTGCACGTTCTCGTCGCGATTTCGTTCATGCCAAAGACGGCCATCGGCACTCGTGTCGGCTCGAGAATGCCGTTGAGCCACGTCAAGTACTCGAGAGCGTCGTCTTGCTCGTCGCGATAGTACGCCAATACGGGATGGTCGTGGTCGAAGCGCGACGTGTCGCCGTTGCGGATGGCGACGAGCAGCTCGGCGAGAGCCATTGCAAACGCGTCGTCGCGAGCGGCCGAGATGTGCGTGAGGAAGAGTGTGTGCGCAAGGCAATGGAGAACGACGTTGATATAGCACGTCAAACCAAAGCGCTCGAGGCCGGCCGGCGCCATATGCGGCTTGAGCTCGAGGTGACGACGGTCAAAGGAGCGGGTGTAGCGCTGCAGCGCATAGGCCAGCCGTTTCCAGCGAGTGGACGCGGCGTCGTTGCTGGCGGACATGCGCGAGAGCGCGTTGATCGTGGTCTCGTGCTTGGATGCGGTCTCCTTGGACTTGGACAGCTCTTGCACGAGAACATCGCAGTTGACACGAGCGTCGTTGTGGGCCGCCTGCTCAAGCTCGAGGGCGAGCGTAAGCGCGTCACGGTCGGCGTGCGCTTGCGCAAGGAGACCTTGCAGCTCCTTGACGCGCTGCGTCTGCCGGCTCAAGATACCTGCGTCAACGACAGCTGCCGCGCTCTTGCCGCTGCGGGCGTCCGCGAGTTGCTTCTCGAGCAAAAGCTCGCGCTGCGCACCCTTATCTGCCGCTATGTTGTACTTCGCTTGCTCAAGCTTGAGGGCGTCACTCAGCGCGTTGCGCTCGGCGCGAGTAGCGTCATGCGCACGCTGCTCTTGCGCAAGAAGACCTTGCAGCCCCTTGACGCGCAGCGCCAGGCGGCCTGAGCCTGCGTGACCGTCATCTGCCGCGCTTTCGCTGCTGCGCCCGTCCGCGAGCTGCGGCGTCTTGTTCGCGAGCGCGACCTCGAGCTCGGCGATTCTCATGGTCGAAAGAGTCATGGTCGCGTCGCGGTCGGTGAGGCAACCTTCAAGCTCCTTCACGCGCTCTTGCATGCGCGCCATGGCCATGTCGCTCGCAGC